TTTAAGAACTAGAAGGAAATTTCTTTTGCTTTGCTTTCATTAATTATTTGCGAAGTAGACCGAGACTGTCATAATTAAAAACGGAGAACGATCTTTACAAGTGTAATGTATGCCTTATTTTTTCCAAAATTTATACTGCACTATGTACAAACAAATGATGGGCTCTTTGGCACCGAAAACAAAAAGAAATTTTCCTTACACTTTAGAGACAGCTCACAATGCCATGAGCGCAAAGTTGAATGTACAAAGGGAAAATATACAAGAGAGTAGAGTACCTTGTTAAAATAAGGTACAATGGAAGAGAAACTTAAGCAGTGGCTGCAACTTCAGTGGGCGTTTTACTTTCATCTTTTTTTGCATCAAGAAGAGATTTCAGCTCAGGGATTTTTGACACCTCCTGCAACCACAGTTTAAAATTGTTTCAGAATTACAACTAGCAAATGAAGCGCCAAAGAATTTCTACTTTGCTTTTCTGAAGGGATAGAATTTTTTCAATTTGATTTAAAAAAAAAAATAAAAAAAAAAAACTCTGATGAATAAAGCATCACAATTAGAGCTATTTTTTTTTTTGCAGAATTAAATTCATATCAAACAAAATCAATTTGAAAGAACGCTTTGCGCCACTGTAGAGAGAGGACATCAGAATATTTCCAGTTCTTGTTAACTTATTTCCACTTTTTTCCCACAGAAAATTTCCTAGTTATTTATGATGCTGGTAAAAACATATTATCCTCAACAAATTTGTGCCTTTACTAAGCTTGATGAGGAAAGTAACTGCAGTAGCTCTTTGGAACATAGTAGGCTGTACTGAAGAGAAAAAAGAATAAAGCGAAATGAGTACAGTCACTCTTTCTTCCTCTTTCTCTCTCTCTCCCCACCCCCCTTCCATCTCTCTCTGGACTAAAAACCATGCTTTTTTGTGTTTTTGTTTTTCTAATTCAAGAGGCCAGGACATTTAGAGGAACATCTGGCTGCAATTAAGAGAAATACCTATGAAGGAGAGTTAAGTAAAACCTGTTCAGCGGGTGAAAAACCCCACAATCTAAAGGTTAGGATAAAAATGCATGTTTGCTCACTTCTTCAGAATGAGATCCTATGTAATCCAACTTTGCACGGTTAACCAGATTTGCGACAAAAGCTTTCTGTTCATTGTAAGCTTTCCAACAGACTGTGTCCGTTTGTTTCCGACTTGCTTCTGCGAAGAGACTGTGTTTCTTTTGAATCTCCACTTTCAAGGCATTGTTAACCCAGGGTTTATTTATTTCTGTCTCCTACACATCACATCAACAAAATTATACTGTATGTTTCACGCCAGATGAAATCAAGAATTACAAGTGGTTAATTATTAAAAACTTAAAAAGGAGGCCAGCAAACAAAGTCTCTGATAAAATCTAAATGATCAAGATTTTAAAATCCTGAGCTTGCCCTGCTTAAAGCATTTATTAGATTAGTGATTAGACTGATTGGAGAAAAATGCAGGATAATTAAACATCTTTGAAGAGCTAGATTAGAAAATAATTAATTGATTGTGGTACCTAAAGTAAAATGTCTGAAACGAGAGAAAAAAAAAAGACTACAGCTAAAATGTCTGCCTCTTACTGATGGTCAGGGAAAGATAAAGGATGGGAAAATGATGAGAGTACTGAGTACAATTTTTCATGGATTTAAAATAGCCAAAGAAGCAGCTATTTGTTAGTAGGAAAAGGATATTTTTTTAAATTACGTGGTCTCACTTAGGGAAACACACCTGTTCAAATCTACAGAGAGGTCTTAAAGATGGGTCTTACAATAATTTTTCCTGTCTAAGACCATTACCAATGACACAGAAGACGAAAACAAGTCGACACTTAACCAGCTGAGGCTTACGAATATTTGCACAAATTGTTGTAGAACGGAACGAAAATTTCACGTGCTTTAAAACATGAAGATTTCAAGATATAGAGATGGGCACTTCAATGAAGTCATCGAGGGTCCACTGACCCATTAAATGTGACCTAATGATGTTACTAATGGGTGCACTTTGAGGGCATTGCAAACAGAACCGGTGACGTCATTTACTGCGGCTTGATTTCGTCATCAACAATAGCCCCTATAGAATCATCACTTTGTGTCTGTCTTAAACGGGTGCAGTTAGTATATCATTAATGGTTGTTGCAATGATTGAGTCATCGCATGGAGTGTAGCATTAAAAAGGGCTCAAAAAACTTATATCTTAGTACTGAAAACTTTCTAGCAAGCATCAAAAATGGAAAAATTCCATTCTGATTTTGTCTTGACTCAATCATGGGGTCTTTCACATTTGGGGGAAGAAAAATTGCACTTGATCTCATTTTTCGTCTGTAAGCTTTTAAAATTTCTAAATAGATCATCATGACTTGACATGTGAAAAATCAAGATTTGTTTTGACAAAGAGAATTTTTTTCAACTGAACAAAGTACCTGGAATCAAAGTAGTTGATGAAGCATGGAGAAATGATCCAAGGGATAACCTTTACATGAAAATGATGAAACGTGGTGCAGTATACAACTAATTAGAACACCAAGCAAGAAATTAGACAGGCCACACACTGAAAAAAGTGGCCCATGGCTGTTTAGATGATTACAGAAAATCATTCATTAAAAACTTGCGCAGCACAATACTTGGATCCATTGACAACTGGTGAAAAGCGATAGAAAATTCTGTCAAACTGCAAATCCCACAGGATGTTGATGAGGACATGCCTTGAACTTTTATTCGGGTGGTCTGTTTATTGAAAGTTTATAGCAGCCCAATGAGACATAGTTAAATAATTGGGTTCCAGAAGATGAGTCTTAGACTTTCAAGATTATTGTCAAAACTGCTGAAGAAAACAGTATTCCTTGAAAAATATAAGTGTATTATACTAGAAAATGAGAAAATTCTTCTGGTCCAGCAATGTTTAAATGTCTCCACCTTTTCATTCCTATTTTTTACAATGTTCCTTCTGAGATGCTTATGTCAAGCCACCTTTACTCCGGACAAAAATTTTTTATTACTCTAGGCATCGAGATTCTTCAGATAGTGACACCAATATTCATGACTGACATAGTGATGAAGATAGGTGCGTTGCCAAAATAAGTAAACTTGTCCAATTCTGTTTGGTTCTTCCGTTTGCGACCGCGACCCAACAGTCCCATCGACCTCCTGAGATCGTTAAGCGTTAGGTAGAAACATTAGGCTTCTACATGTAAACACACATGTTTACATCAGGTATCAAGTATATTGTTTGTGAATCAGGTAATTCTGCTTCCAAGTGGTCCCAAACAGTTTACTTTGACAATGCAGCTGATATTGTGGTAAGTTGAGAATGCCCTGTGCGATAGTAAGTCATTACAGATGTAGTCCTTCCCCAGTGAAAAGAACTCTACTTGTTGCAAAATTCACTTAAAAGAATATTTTTGTGCAATTTCTGTCCCAAATTCAGCTTTTTTATGCTTGTAATTAGGGGAAAAATTAGTAAAATTTTCAATTAGAAATGCTGAACAGCTTTCAGACAGCAATGTAGTTTGCTAGTGGAAATTTAACAACAGTGAAAGGTAGTTACATTATTTCCATTGGGAAATGACTATACATCTGTATTAAGAACTCTAGATGTACACACGCCTTGACGGTAACACAGCCATTTTGTGACTTTTTCTCTGTGTCCTGTTCCCCCAAAATATTTTCTTTATAAAAATAATGAATCATCACTTCCTCGGACGATTCTTTCAATGGATACTGTTAAAGTATCTTTACTTAAACTTAAGAGTTTGTGTGCTCTGGGTGATGAAAATGAAAACATTGCAATGGAAATAATAGAAGTGATATTCTCTTAGCTGCTTCAACTGAGGACAGGCCCTTCTACTTATCCTGCAATCTGAGGATAAACAGATTGGGCTTTGCACTCCTCCTCACAGAGCACGTGCTGTTTCATATTCATAACTCAAAAGGAGACATTGAAGTTATACGCTCAGAAGTTGTCACTGTATTCTATCACTTCCAAACGAGGTTTCCAAAAATTAGAACTGAAGCTCTTTGAAGACCTTGGTTAACTTCTCAGAATGGTTTGACAAGAAGCTGGTTTTTGTATAATAAAAAACTGTAAGCTTAAAATAGGCTCCTCATGCATTATTAAAATGTGCGTGAGTGAAGTGGAAATCTTCATCTCACGAAATAAAAAATAAAAGAAAAAACAAACAAAAAGCTAGAGCTGCAGTAAATAGGTATAATAAAAGGCTATACTTAAGACTAACAGCCATGCTACAACTAGTGCAAGTACTGCTATGATTTTAAGTTTGACTCAGCAAATTGGTGGCGCACAGCAGCCTTTGGCTGCAAATTACAATACTTAATGACCCTTTCGCGTCAGCACAGATGGAGGGGTAATAACCTTGAGTGGCTTGTTAAGGAAATAGAAAAAGTAAGAAAATTCTAGTACACAGGTGCCCCGTGCATTCTGACATGGTAAAATTTTCGTTACTTGAATCAGTAGCAACAGTGGGGTCTTCTACTGATAAACAGCTGTATATACACAACAGGGCAAGGAGGTCCCTGATACTGCTGTACTACTGCTTAACAAGCCCTTCTGCGGCTTGCGGTGATACCACATCAATTACAGGATGAGAGAAGTAATAAATACTGACATCAAACAATAGTAACTTGGTCATTTCTCAGAACTGTAACGGCAAAATAAAATTCACAGAGAGCAGAATTAGAAGTAGCCTACCATTGGAACCTTAGCAAAGCAACAGCATCTACTGGGGCTGAGCAGTTTTTCCTAGGTTTTGCACTGTAACAGTTGCACTGTCTCATTTACATTAATGAAACGTTTTCGGCTAGGTTTCTCTTTGCGAACGCTTGAACTGGGCAAAATGTGGCAGCCTGGTCCAGTACCAATAGGAAGACCATAAGTATGATACTATGTCCCTCTCAAAATTCTTCAGAGCCATCATTCTGAAGTATAGCCTATGTTACTGATTACTACGCAAGAAAGTGAAACGTACCTCATTTTTCTTGGCTTTGGCCAGTTTCTTCTTGGCAGCTCTAGCTTGACTCACAGTGCCATTGTTGAATGCTTTGCCAGTTTTGGGCAGTGAGCCTCGGAAAGCACCTCTTCCTCTGACGAACGGTGGCACAGGAGGCAACATAGGTCTTGGCGGTACTGGTGGCATTCCCATTGGATGTCTCACTGGATAGTCTCCCGGAAAAGGTCTTGCCCGGGGAAAAGGTACAGCTGGGTGTACAGGTGGATAAGGTCGGAGACCTCTTGGTCCAGGTACTGGAGGTGGTATCATAGGAGGGATTCGTGGTCCGTACCCGAAATCAGGTTCCAGGAATCCTGGAGGTACTGCAGGTGGTCGAGGTCTAACCATACCAGGTGCAGGGAAGGATCCTCCTCTACCACCTCGGCCACCGCCTCGACTAATTTGTCCAATGCCACCCCGGCTAACACCGCCGCGTCTGGAGCCTCGTGCACGAGACGATCGGCCTCTCAACCGCACCATTATACTTAAGTTACCTTCGTAATCCTCACGCTGAGAGTTTAGCGGTACAAGAATCCGGCCGTACGGTCTAGGAAGACACTTCGATTTCAAGCACCTTCAACTGATCTATCAAAGTAGTAATAACTGAAGCACTGAATTAAATTTGTAAAGCACAGTAGGTACTCAATGCTGTGAAACGTTATGCTGAAGAGTGTACGAGGCACATTGAACCATGAACAACGCGTGGAGAAGTCTTGATCTCGTCACACGAGCGAACAATAATAAATACAGCACCGAATGCAAATGGCGGAATGAATGAGGTTATTGATGTGTTTGTAGAATTTTGAGTTTCAATTGGTGGATATTTTCTATCATCTTGACACCAACCAATCAAATTTTTTTTTACTCGGAATAGCCTGGATTTTAACCAATCAGACGTTCAAAACAACACGATATGGTATGATGTAAAAGCTTGAGGCGTCTCACACTTTTCATGTAAAGCGCCACCTGATACTGGTCAGTAAAATACAAATAAATCATTAAACTGATATGGGAAAATTAAAGTAATGGAGTCATTATGATATTCTGAAAAAGGAAGATCGAATCATCTCTTATCACTACTCGGGCCAGCGGGCCTGCGGCAGCAGCATTGACGTATAATACAATCTAGACCGCGCATTGGGCCCGACTTTGGGCGGGGAAGGTAAGACAGCTAGGGGGGTAAAGACGCGCCTTCAGCCTAGTTGATACCGCCGGATATACGAGCTAAGTGTACCCGTATCAGGCAACGGCACTGGCAAGACTGGCATTTCCACGAATTCCACCATTGTCTCGCCGGTACACTTGCTGTGTGTTGCTGGGTTGCCTATCGTCTCGCTTGAATTTCGTAATGCGCGGTCTAGATTGTATTATACGTCAATGGGCAGCAGCACCTGCAGTGACCCAGTGACCGATCAAAACTTGAACGTTTGCTACGTCACTGCCGGAAAAGGAAATGAACTCAAGAAGCGGGAAAAGGAAACGGATATGTGACGATCCCCGATCGGCACAATCCGAACGGCATGTACATTGTACCCACTGTTGCCAGTAAGAAGTCAAGAGGTCAACGTTTCTCCAAACGTTCTTTTTCATCATTTCAAGAAAGTTGCAAGGCCATACTGTCTGATCCTGACGGTCGAATGTAACTTGCAAAAGTTATTAGAGATCTTTTGCAAAACAAGTGCGACACCCCTAAGCCAGATTTCGCTCGAAAACAACTAGCAGCAAGAAACCGTGCAGTCAAACAAAACATAACAACATACCGACCTAACATAATGAAAAGACCGTTTTTACGCGTCGGGATATTTTTTTTTCTCTAGCTGCAGTAGGTGAGTCAGTAAATGCCTGGCAGAGATTTGTTTTTGCTCTGATTTGAGTAAAAACTGGATTGTGTTTTGCAAAAAGGAACCAAAAGCATTCCAATGTCACTAAAGTTGTGCAACTTTTTTTCGGTACCTTGCAAATATAAACTGATCGCTTAAACAAGTTTTTTTTTTCCTCCCATTGAACAATAAATTCAATACAAAAATCACCTTTGCAAATTTATTTTTTTGTGTGATTTCAGTAATTTCATTGCAAAGAATGCAAGTTGCACAATCCCAGCAACACTGGAATGCTTGTGGTTCCTCTTTGCAAAAATACACTCCAACTGATACATTAAAAAATGCCTTAAATTATATTTTTCAACAGTTGCTAGCTTCATAAATTAGAAAAAGAAAAAATTACACTGCATAAAGAAGATGTAGGTATGTAAGTTTTTCTTTTACACCTTGCTCCTTGCGAAAAGTTCATTGAGGCAATATTATTCAACATACTGTAATTCCATAAAGCAGGGTTCTTAAGAGTAGAAATTTGAGAACAATAATTACCGGCAATTTATGACCCGAACCTGAGTGTAGTAAACTGGAAAAAGTGGTTCCTCTTTGCAAAATGTTGTCTTATATAGACAGGCAAGCTCATTGAAAGATTTCGAGTTTTCAACACCAAATTTTACTTCAGCCATTTGAACATTGCACTTTATCACACATTATTAAAATTCTCAATTCAAAAATATTGTAAGTAAAACATGTTTTGAAAAAATGTTTATTTAATAATTTGGCAAGTAAAAAAAAGGAAAGTCCTGATAAAAACAACACATACATTGTTGGATTCAGAAATTCTCCCATTAAAACATAGAAGAGATAGATCCAATACACAATGAAAATACAGCTTTGTCTTTACATGCTTAGAATGAATCTTATCAGGAAAAATGAAAGGCTTCAAAACCTTTTGACTTCTAGATAAAAAAAAAAAAAAAAAAAAAAAAAAAAAAAAAAAAAAAAAAAAAAAAAATTACAACTTGAAATGTCCCAAAAATAATTCACTGGCAGTGTGATTCAATTTTTTCCCCCACAATAGAGGTAATATGATTTCAAAATACTGTCCCATATCAAGGTGAACTAGAGCATTTATGCATCAGCAACTACTGACATTATTTTATTTACTAATTGAAGATTCAAAATTGAGACAAGTAGATATACTATAGAAGTTTGAAATTGTGTATGTACTGGATAAGGTACTCATGTGCCGGAGATTTTAATTAAATACACTTCTATATCAACTTTTGAACCTTTTGAAGCTTGATTAAAGAATATCAAATGCGTCTGCAGCGCCAGCACGTCTTTTTTCAAGATGAAGTGCATGTTTTTCTGGTTCCAAGTAGAATGGTTTTACACTGTAGTCATCCTTCATTGCAGAAATCCATTTTGTCTGGAAAAAATTTACAAAGAAAAAACCACAATTAGAACCATCAATTTAGTAAATGGATCTTATGCCAGATTTTTCTTAACTAGGACATTGGTCTGAAGTGGACATTTATGGATGTTTTTTGTACAAAAAGATTTATAAAACACTCTTTTACGGAGGAGTTGAATCATTTAAATGGACCACTAGACAAGGTACGAACTAGCGTATTCTGATATATGTTTCCTCTTTAACATTCCCTGTAAAATACAATTCCCACGACGAACATTGCTAAAATCAATTAACATAATAATTACTGATATTAATTCCTGATAGCGCTGGTTACAAAAAATTTGAATTTCTCACCCATATTCAAATATGTAGCTAGCTGGGGATCAACATGGGGGAAAGATACCCATGAAAGTGAGAGAGGATTACATCTTTAAAAGCGTGCTATATTTTTGTGAATAATATTGTAAATGATCATGACAAGGTCTCAGCTAAAAGCTAATAATTTGCTACTATGCCTCCACCAAACCATATTCAAATGGGGAGAATGATTTCTTTGAGGAAAACGTCAGAATCAGTCATTTGAGAACAGTTAATTAGTCATTAATCAAATAGCAGATATGTATAATTCTTGCTAAAGATATTTAAAATAATGATGGTAAGAATTAAGAATTTCTCAAATTTTCCAAAAGTATTCCAAAAGTTGTGGATTTAGTTGGACAGATTTACCTATAATTTATCTGAAAAATGATCAATCAATCGATGATGCAGTACCAATGGATGAGACGAAGATTACTGATCTTTTTGCCTGCAATAGTAGGGTATAATTTAAAAGAATATTCCTTACCAACAGCGGTAAAGTCTGAACTGGAAGTTTTCCTTTCTCACCATAACGCACAGCTATGACATCAATACGTTCAAACGACGGCCATATCATGTAATCAGGCATACCTGGTTTTTCACCTGAAAAAAGAAAGATATGCATGAGTTACTAACAAATTAAGATGATTTTCAGGAGGATACTGGAATAAAATATCATTAATATTTGTTATTGTTCCATACAATGTTTTTATAACCTTCTGAATACTCAGTACTGGACAGCATCAGAGCAGTGGCTTGCTAATGGAGATGAAACAAGTTTTAACTTGTCTGACTAAAGCTTTAATAAAAATAAATTTTTGGGTTACTTCCCAAATACATTTTCCAATCAATTTTTTAATGACAGATAAATGACGTACCTACCTATACTGGGATTCATTTATGCAGCTCATTTAAAACCAGCAAAAATAGAAATTAAATATTTCATAGGTTTCCCATCAATTTATCAAAATAACTATACCTGAGAAAAAATTGGATCCTCTATTCTTCAACTCATTTTCCATTTTAGCTAACATAGTGAGTACTCCTTGAAAAGCATCTTCGGTGAAATCAGGGCCCATCAACAGTTTATAAAGATGAGGACCAATCTGGAAGAGGATAAAAAATTAACTGAAGCGTTTCTGAAAGGAGAACAGAAGCTCACAAGAGAAACGAACTACAGAGGTGTTTTAAAGTGATTCCTCTAGTAATTCAAACATATATTAAGGGGCAATAATCTTCAGAAGTCAGCTAGGTTTCTGAAATTGAATATCCTCTAGGCTTTTGTATGGCATGAGAAAATCCAATGGCAAATGAAGAAATTTTGGGATAAAAATTATTTTCCAATTAAAAGGAAAAACGCACAGATCATACAAATTTTCGGTTCAATGCGTAGTCCTGACCATTCAGTTTGTTGAGAAAAAAACCCTGCACGGAGCCTGGGGCTCAGAGGCTCCTGGTATATTTTGATGAACCTTTAATTGGTTGACATAAAGTTCATCATTGACACAAAGCTAAAAAATTAGGCAATTCTACGAAGGAGGAGCCAAGATATTCGGGATTGAACACACAGACTATTTTCTGTGCAGCGGAGGTGAATAAGCGCTACACATTGCCTTTCTTTGCCTGCGAAGTAAATTTCAGCCGAGAAACCTCCTCTCTCTACCAGGTAGCAACAACCTTGTATTGTTTTCATTTACTCCTATCACATGGACGCTGGGGCCAGCAATGCAATATGGAGTCTGAAATGACAAAGAGTTGCTGAAATTGAATGAGCAGGTGCTGGGAGAAGGAGGGAGTAAAGTCTTCGTACCGGCCGAGGGTATAAGCACCTAACTGCGCGTGAGGTCTGAACGAGAACGCCAAACAACCAGGAGAGAGGACTTGTAATTCTTCCACTGTGCTGTGACGTGATAGAAAATAGTCTGCGTGTTCAATCACGAATATCTTCGCTCCTACTTGGTAGAATTGGCTAATTTTTTGGCTATATGCTAGTGATGAACTATATACCAACCTGTTAAGGTTCCATCAAAATGTGCTGGGAGCTACTGAGCTCTCTTTTTTGGGCAGGGTTCTTTTCCAAGAATAGGGAAATTTTGTGGCTGAGATGGCGTTTGAATTTTGCCTTTTTGTATCCTTAAAAGAAATGAGAGATTCTTACATTCTGTTTTAAACAGTATTAGGATCATAGTTTGTCTTTCCCCAGACAAAAGAACATTACTCCATTCCAATGTTGTAATAGGTATCTACCGACTTCAATAATTCAATTTTATTACAAGAATAATATTGTGTCATGTCCGTTTGAAATTATGCTGACTTTTGCCTACGATCTGAGAAGAAAAACTGGTGAAATTTTCCATTAGAAATATCCCGTGCGTAAGTAGTTTTCTGATGAAAATGCAGTTCACGAGGGAACATTTTGTGATGTTGAAATACAGTTACATTTCTTTGTCTGGGAAACAACTAACTGTAGTACTTTTATTTTTCAAAAATAGATGCCAATAAAAAAAGTCTCTTAAAAAAAAATTTATCTTTAATCTCCATGGGAAGTTATTGTTTAAAAAAATATTGAGATTTCTCTACCTTTTATCCTGAAAAAAACTAAAAAAAAAAAAAAAAATCTACATTCTTACTTTGCCAAAACTCTCCACAAGCAAACGATCTTTTGCTTTTTGAAGGGGGTCAGATGAGTGTAGGCGGGGCTCTGGAAAGTATTCGTCCAGAAAATCGGCCAGAATGAGACTTTCATAAAGATTGGCACCTTTGACATTCATTGCAGGAACAGTGCCAGCAGGAAACTTCTCTAAAAACCACTCTGGTTTTTGGACAAGATTGATGTAAACCACATCATACCTAATGTGAAACATGAGAACTGAAGGAATAAACAGTTTGACTTGAGACAGAACAAGATCAAGCAAATCAATGGCTTATAGAGGATAGAGCAAAAATATTTATTTTTTTTTAAATACAGCACTTAAACTTATCCTTTTATTTTTCAGAGGGTTTTAAAAATATTTAAGGTGTGATCTTGATTTTCAACAGGCAAGGGCCAATTTGTCAAAATAAAGAGTTGTGCAACAATAACATATGGAAAAGATAAAATTAAGTACTTACGGAACTTTTTTGGCATTGAGGACAAGGTGAACTCTCTGAGCGTACGGGCAGTACCTCATACTGTAAAGCCTTAGCTTCTCTTCAATTAGAGGAGGTTCAACAGAACCTAGAAAAATATTTTAAGTATGAATTATTAAGAATCTAGAACAGGTGATGATGAGTATCAGTGGATAAAGGAGCAAAAAGACATTTTTTAGAAAGTGAGCTTCTTATCAGTTAAGAAAATATCTCCTTGAAATTTTCCAGGGATAGACAGAAAAAATTAAATTGCTGATTTAACGATTCAATTGCTAATAAAAGTGACTGCAATGTTTCAATGTAGATTTTACAACACAAAAATGCGTACAATAGTGGTTTAAGTAGAAAGTGCAAGTGAAGTAGCAGAAAGTGAATGCAACGTTTCAACGTAGATTTTACAACAAAAAAATGCTACTTTAACCACTATGGTACGCATTTTTGTGTTGTAAAATCTACATTGAAACATTGCAGTCACTTTTTTCAGCAATTGAGTTGTTAAATCGGCAATTTAATTTTTTCCGTGTATGCTTCAAGAAAAACCATTTCTTAGTTTATGCTGTTAAAAATGAAACAAGAGACAATTTGTGACATTGATTTGGAGATTCGCATTTTTTTCCCCTATAATATACAGCCACCAATATCCATAATCAGACTTGGAGGAATTCCAGGAGTGTGATTTCAATGGCGGCTGCAGAACCCTAGGATTGACAGGATTTGTTTGAGGTTGCAGCGGATTGTTAGTATAGTTTTTTCCGTGACCTTTTGTTTTGTTGTAATCTTGTTTCTCATGAAGTAAATTCATTCATTCACTCGCAATAAGATGTCGGACGATAATGATTAGACCTAGGTGTTAGAGGACTTGGACTGAAAACAAGTGAGCGTAGGAGATTAATTGAAGCTGGCTATCTTCACGAGTCCACGATTGATAAGTTTACACACTTTTAGAGTGTGCCAGATGATCTGCAGTCTTGATTCTTGGACTTTCTTTCAATGCATAACTGTAGACGAAGACTCATTTTTGGTCGTATATTCTAAAAGCGCATATACTTCTTTGACATGGTCTCAGCCTGGTCGTCCAGGTAGACAGGTTATGCAGTTGCTTGCATATTGTTTTTTAGTGGCTAGGGTCATGGCCAATAAAGTTTATGCACTTTTAGACCGCGACAGGGGGTCCAATATTGAGATTCTTCCATTCACTTTACCTGTACATGTAAAAGAGACATCAGGCAATCTTCGGTCGCAGTCCTGTAATGCGTCAACTAATTTTGCGTGGACTCTAGTTGATGATCATCCCCAACAGATAGAATTATCATGAAATTCGACTTTTCGTCATGTTTCTCTGATGAGTGGATGGAGGTACTTAGGTGGGTGAGAATTACATAACTCTCTTGATACTGAACCTACTTCTGGCAAAAATCTGCCATGTATTTACAGCAGACTAAAGCATAATAAGGGATGAGAGGCTTACCAGATTTGTGGTGAACCAAAGTCATTGTGGGCTGACGAAGTTTCGGTACAAAATACGCCAAGATTTTTCTGGTAATTTTGATTCTTGATTGAGAAATGTCAGGTGCCGGAAACGCCGGGAGTGTTTGTTTTGTTTATCAGTGTATTTCCGAAAAAAGTGCGTTGTTTGCCCGTCAGGAAGCGCGGTAAGCGCGGATGATGAAACATAAACACTGTTGTGTGATAAGAAAAATTTACATGGTAATTCTTGTTTTTCCCAAGTTTTTTCGTCGTAGGCTGGATTTTTTTAAAGATTAATGTTATAATCATTTGATCGTCGTGTACCAGTAGGAAATTTTACCGGAAATTCAATGATCCTCAGACAAATCGTGTAAAATTCTGCGTCTGAAGCAGGGATAATATCTCTTGATTTTTGATATGGTGCCGAGATGTGCATTTGAAGCATGGGTTACTCAGTCAGATAATTGGAAGTGAATTTGGATGGTGATCTGTTTTGCCCCCAACCACACCTTTTAAAGTTTTACAGTAAGTTTCATCGAGTTTTATTTGTTTCAGTTTGATCGCCATCAATGGCAAATGACTCTATCCATATAACTTAAAGTTGTTACGTTTGGGAAAGCAAGTTTCGTTGGGTCCCTGTCCCCGCATTCACTGCAGTAGATCTAGCAACTTCAGAGATTATCGCTAAATGAGAAATTCATTTAAACATTAAGAATGATAAACCAAGGGAAAATCAAATGTGTCTGCTACCGGAAGAATGGATTTAGTCTGGGAGCTGAGCTTCTGTCACATCAGTCTCTGTCGGAACCTTAGAACTTGTTCATTACTAGTTGAGCGTAGAGGTGTGTTACCAAAGACTCATGAGAGCTCTCTGGCCTACTCAGTGACATCGACAACCGTTTTTAGTTTCCGGAGCGATCATCTGGAGACTTGCCATGTCAGTCACCTAACTGCTCTCGAAGCAACTGATCTCTCGAGGCCAGGTAGCTGGAGAGCAGTATGGTGAGTGGCGTAGAAGTGAGGTTAACTTTACTTCCTCTTCATTTTGCACCTTTTTTCTCCGGAAATTGCATCAGAAATTACAGCATCATCAGGACTTCTTTGCAAATGAATGAAGTGGGTAGAATATTCCCTAGAAACGTTGAGGTTTTTCAAAGTGTACTATCACTCTCCATCCTTGAACCAAAATCAATTGTGGGATTACTGCAGGTACCAGTGCATCTCCTTGTTCACAACTCAACACTTACCAAATTCTCATTTTTTTCGTCATTTGTTCCAGGTTAGATCACAACTTCAAACAGCCATAATGTCCTCTTCAACAACTAGGCATCTCCCACTTCTATTCATATCTAAATCTGTTTCAAAAAGTCTGCTTTCAAATTCAAGTAATTTTGGAAGGCAGCATAAATCTCCCAATATTTTCATAACAGCAGCAAGCCGGTATGATCGAACATTTTCAACATGCGGACGCCCTCTGCAGTCTTACTCTCCAGATAAATTGCCAGAAACAACCGTGAGGAGTAAGCGTATCCCAATCCCAACTTTCAGAAAAGCAGAGGCATATCTAGATAACATAGCACTGCAAGATCATCATGGCGATTACTCTTATCGAGGTTTATTTGAGAGTAGCGCATCATTTTCAAAAATTCTAATGAATGAACTAGGTGGCAAAATGCAGGAACGAGTCGCATTTTTGTGTCCCAATAGTGCCAGTTATATCATCACTCAGTGGGCTTGCAGCATGTCTGGACAGATTGGTAAGCATTTTGCCGCACCATTTATTTTAGTGACCGTAAGTGGGTATGGAAATTTTTGTCATCGATTCTCTAAAAAATTGTGCAGTTTTTGGAAAAATGCACACACAAAAGTATTTGAAATAATACTTACTCGTAGTTGGTGTACGTCCAAACAGTTGACATTATATTCAATTTTCTGTACTTGGAATTTCGGGTTTTGCAAGAATATTGATGCTACTTATTTTGAAACTAGCTATATCCAAAAATCGGAAACTGCTACCACCTTCTCCTTTTCTCTATGAACTAAAATGATATCCAGAGAAATGCACTCTTCTAAAAAAATTCAGAAAGCATGCATTCATGGATGGAGCTGCAAACATTTCAATTTTCAATGTAGATAATTTAATAATAGTGCAGACTAGTTTCCATTCATGTTCTCTGAAAATGCAGGATGGCCCCATCATGGACTTTGCATTGTTTGTGAAAATGTGTAAAACTTTTGAAACTTACTCGAGTGCTTGCCTATCGGGTGAAAAGTGGTCATGAAAATGTCACAATGTTACTTCCAAAGGTTAACATTGCAGCAATTTTTTTGCAACAATTGCATCACATGTTTTTGGCAGTTGCCCGGTAGGCTTACTGAAAATGCACAAGCTGAAAGAATCCACTTCTACTAAATTTACACGATTTCCAATAAGTAAAATATATTTATTTTTAATTCAACTTTTACAGGAAATTGGTGAAGATAATGAAATAAGCACATGTAGAAATGACTCATCGTTTTACTGATTCCTCTTTTTTTTACAGCTGTTCCCTTGTGTCCATCACATCCTCCTACAATGTTAGAATATTTTGTCACTGACAGTGATGCAAAAGTTCTAGTCACTACCAAAGAATTTTTGAATGTACTGGAGGACCTTGCAAAGAAAACCGGACGAAAATTACTTCTGTTTGACGAGAGTCTTTCCGATGCTGCCATGGTCAAACTAGAGAAGAAAGTATCATCAAGTGCTGAAAAAACTGAACAGGTACTTTTTGTGCATAACCAGACACCACTTTACTCTGGTACTACCAGTCAGATCTACATTACGGTGTTTCAAAATTTCAAATCCTATTTTAATTTTTTAGAAAGAAACCAACCAAAATTTTTGCTCACAATTTTGTGAAAATAATCCTCTAATGGACAAGACACATTGGAACATTTTCAAATGGGGATGTTGGTTGGTTTCCTCCCATAAATTAAAATAGAAGGTGAAATTTTGAATCTTCGCATTGTAGATGTATCTGTTTTAGCTTACTCCTATCCAATTATCAAGAATAATCTTTAAGAGTTCCATTTATCTGTGGAAATGACTTCCATAACTGAATTACTAAATACAAAAAGGGCACATGTCCAGAAAATCAAATGGACCACTAGACAAGGCACGAATTCAAGCATTCTGATACATGTTTCTTAATCAGAATTTCACGTAGAACGCGATTCGCGCAACGAAAATTACTGTAACCAACTCCTAACGAAGATATTTACCGTTTTATTTCACATTGGTTACGCGGATTTTGAACTGCCCGCTCACGAGAAACTCAAAGCTCTACATGAGTCAAATCGAGCACTACAACGGTTTCAGAAAGCCTCTCAATCGAGCAATATTCATTTCCTTCCATGTGTTGTTCAAACTATAAGCAATTTGCTATAGCTGAGCCAAAGCGTCAAGATTGAGGTTGCCAGATTTTATACTGCAAGAGACTGTCATGATTACGTTAAGCGCGCGATGTGAATCATGCAGATCATTGAGTTTTCATGAGCGGGTGGTTTGAATTCACACATTAAGAATCATTAAATATCTTCGTAAGGAGTTGATTTCGGTAATTTACGTTGTGCGTATCGTGTTTTACGTGGAATTTTAGTTCAGAAGCATCTATCAGAATGCTGAAATTCGTACCTTGTCTAGTGGTCCATTGTTCAGGAGACACAAAAAACTGTTTATTTCGTGGTAGATATTTTTTGGAAAGTCGTTACGTTTAAAAAAAAAATCTACCATGAAGTAAACAGTTTTTTGTGTCTCCTGAACAATTTGGTTTTCTGGAAATGTGCCCTTTTTGTATTTAGTGATTCAACTGATGTCTATCCAAGTGACAACTTCAAAGGAACCCTCATGATCTTTTCAAGCAAATTTCTTAGCAAAGACCAACATAGATCTGGGTCAAAATCATGACTTTCCAATTATTAATACTGAATAGGTCTGTAATGTATGAACAAGTATTTATACACAGTTTCAACTCCCAATTGCATTGTCAATTCGTAAACTTTTTTTGTAAAGGTTTTTTCCCAACCAAAAAAAGAGAAAAAAAGGAATTCTGTTTCCTTTATTTTTGTGAGACGACACTTATACCAGAAGCGCATGACACTCTTGAATGTCAAATCCAGCAAAAAAGTTCTAAGAATGAGAAAATTTACTGAAAGTTTGACGGGTCTTTGTGCTGTTCTCTCAGGATTCAAAATCTGATGCCCAAGACACCAACGTTAAGCCGCTTGTGGATGGAGGTCTTGAACCAGAACTTTACAGTTGCTTGGACGCTTTAATCATCTACACATCTGGCTCCACTGGCTCTCCAAAAGGTTTGATTCCATCATTGTTCCCTGATTTTCTTTCTATTCTAAATAAAATTTGCTTTTTTAGGAAATTTAAAGAATGTAATGTCTGAATTCAATTTTTCTTTCTTTTCATTTTCGGCGCAGTTGTCCACTCAATTAATCCTCCTCCACTCTGAGGTGTTTTGAATTTTGTCAAAAGGTTGTTGGCATCTCATATGATCATCAATAAAAAAAAATGTTTGACATCTCATTCACTTTACAGTTGAAATGAGAGTAGTGTTTAATGGGTCAGTGGCACAGCTTTTCTGTAGAGTATCGGACAGTTCATCATTTTCTGGATGAAGGATCGTAACTCCATTGTAAGGTTGCGAAATTGAAGCAAATAAATTTTTGACAGGAGTGTACCTGTGCAATTTTTAACCAAAATGTTTCTGATTTTTGCACAAGATCAGAAGAAACAACAGTGAAGTTTTCAGTCAGAGATGTCTAAGATTCTCTCCGTGAAAATTCAATTTGAGAGGAAATTTGGCAACATTGAAATGTAGTTACTTTCCTCCGTTAGAGGAGAAACTCTTTGTACCCTAATTGTAAAATTTTATGAAAAAACCAACAAATTTCTCAAAAAGTTTATAATAGCACTTCGCAGGTGAGAAAATGCCTATTAAAATGTGACCAACCAGAGGCTGACTGTCATAATAAGCATAGTAGGGCATGTCTTCCAGTGGCGAGGTGTGAATGATCGATTATCGATATCTTGCCATTTGAAGCTATGGTAAAGAATCAATTACTAAGGTGTTCCCTGATAATCGATCTTTTTTCATAGGTTTGAGTGGCGTATTAATGGATATATCACAAAGCACGCCGATGATAGGTCAAAATGTCCAAAAAAAAATGTCCAACAAGCAAGAATGTCCAGAGTTGAGAATGTCCATATTGTAAAAATGTCCAAGTATCTTAAATGTCTAATACTGGTTTTTTGGCCAAAGACAAAAATGCCCAAAAGTCCATTCCCTTTGCAAAAAAATTAGAAGGTGGCGACATTGTCGGCTTGAATACTAAATAAATTCGAATCCATGGAGACGACGGGGAAGATTTGAGAATCTTTTTTTCTTGAACTAACCTCAGTTGTGAAACTTTTTGGCTTTTGTAAAATTTTCGTTTGTTAAAAAATGCGGTAAAACCAATTACAGGGGCAAAATTTTACAATTTGTGATTTTTTTATGATTCTAAACTAAACTAATTGGTGAAAACTTAAAAAATTGGTGATTTTATTGTGATTTTTGTGATGGCGAACCCAAGGCTATTGAAAAGCCAAAAAAATAAACCTGTTCTTATTCATGATGACTTTCTGTATCAACGCCACTCAGCAAACAAAGTGAACACTGTAATTTACTGGAGGTGCCATAACAGGGGTAGCTGTGACGCTCGATGCTCGACAACAGGAAATTTGGAAAATATTTAAATAAAAACCAGCGGGAGCCATAAGCATACACATGCGCCTGACGTTGCCAGTGTTGCTGTGAGAACGTTCTTGTCTCAACTAAAAGAATATGCAACAAATGCACCAAACGAAGGAGCAAGTAACATAGTGAGGGATCACGTTGCTACAATAGACAATGAAGAGGTTTTAGCAATGATGCCTGAGAATAATGAGGAAAGTGATCAAAAATGAAGAATATCTAGAAACAAAAATAAATGGACTTTTGGGCATTTTTGTGTTTGGCCAAAGAACCAGTATTGGACATTTCAGATACTTGGACATTTGTAAAATAGGGACATTCTCAACTCTGGACATTCTTGCTTGTTGGACATTTTTTTTTGGACATTTTGACCTATCACCAGCACGCCACGCCACTGATGTCTTCGGCTGAGCTTCAGCCAATCAGTGAAAGCAAACTCCTTTACTTGGCTAAATTATGACAGACTGACAAATGTAGCGTTTTAAATGGGTCCAGATTTCAGCAACTTCAAACTAATTTTTTTCTACCTTTTCAAGTAGAAAAAATATATATATATAAAAAAAAAAATATGTAAAAAATATTGAGAGCTCATTTCACTCAATACTTTAAAAAATTAATGAAGAAAATAGGCGCCTGGGCCTCAATTGTGCTAAACGCTCTCTTGGAACCTTAACAAGGTCTGTTTCTCATCAACATCATTTTATGCATTCATCATCAATTGATGGTAATTCTATTGAGTTTTCTTTGCTATCAAACAAAATTTACAGAAAAATGTTGAGTAATTTACCGTAGATTAAAATTAATCCTCAGATGAAAAAGAAAATATCACAATTTAGATGCTCTTTCTTGAAGATACATTAATTTTAATCTCCATTTTGAAAGCCTAGCTCCTAATATTTGTTTGACATTGTAGGTGTTGTGTACAACTACACCAATTTGGAGGCTCAAATTTCTTCATTGGTGAAAGCATGGGCCTGGACAAATAAAGATGCCATCCTCCATACTTTACCATTACATCACATTCATGGTGTCGTTAATGCTCTCGCCTGTCCTCTCCATGTTGGAGCCAGGTTAGCAGTTCATTATTTTGTAAATTAAAGGTATATCATCTAGAAAGGAGCAAGTGCAGTTATGAACTTTCAAACTTGAAATCGGCTCTTAAGGGTTAATCTTCTGAATTTTTCAGTAATCTTTGCGCCAAATGATACAACCTCTCCAAGCTAAGTAGTTAAATATCTCATTTTTCTCTCCTATTTAAGGATCTTTTAGCTTGACCCTATCTGTATTGGAATAATGTCTCCAATCTTCACACTTAAGATCTGTATCATAGCAGAAAATATCTGTTCTTGTATCATTATGAAAAATAGGTTGTGTTTTAGATGGGATCAAAGTATCTGTGCAAATATCTCATCTCAATTTGTAAATTCGTGATCACACATCTGCTACATCTTTCTTGAATTTTCATGGTCATTGATTTTTTAAAGTTTTTGATGTATTTAGTAGCTGAAGGCTTTTGAAACTATGAAAGAATGTATCTTGGTTTGCAATGTCACATATTTCTTATCATGTTTTATTTTTTTGAGGAGTTATTAATCATTCTTAGAACACAAAATATTGTGTAATCTTTCCTTGTCTTTTTAAGATAATCCCAGAAACTTAGTACAAAATTAGAGGTAGATTGTGAAACATTGCAATCCAGATAAGTGTTTCCATAGTTTCACCATTGATGCATGCCTTTGTCTACATTAATCAATTTTAATATTCTTACTGTCAATTGAACTCAGTATCAGCTGGTCTTATGAAGTCCATTTACCTTCCAATCAATAACACACAGAATTGAACTTTCGAATCTTTAGCAGGCAAATAGTCAAATGCCTATGTAAATAGCTGAATATTCACACTTGAAATATCATCATGATTTTTTTTGCTAATTTTGAACAAAATATCAATTTGATTTTATAGGAAAGAATGCTCTATAGCACTCTACAATGATCTTTTCAATGATTCCCTGCTTTTGAAGGAGCAAGGAACTCGATATTTGCAGCATGCCATAAACTCCAGAATTTTTGAAATGTATGCAGAGCGTTTTGAGAAGAAAATACAAGCCAATTTTATATATTTGTTGGAAGCTTACTTTCAAAATATTTGAAAATCGAGGGCTTGTCAATTTTCTTGTCAAAAATATATAAATTTTAGCAGACTGTGAAAATTCGGCTGTTTAGGCATTTGATAAAATGCCTAATCGGACTATTTACCTGCAACAAATCTGTTTGTAATTTGACCTCATGAAGAGTTCATTACCGTCTTTTCTTTTTTTTTCAGATGTGTCATGAGACCTAATTTTGATCCAGCAGAAGTTTGGCACTATTTGTTAGCTCTAAAGCAAACTCCTGAAGAAAGAGTCAACATATTCATGGGCGTTCCTACAATGTATGTGAAATTAATTGAAGAGTACGATAAAGCATTGAGTAAGACTGAAAAAATGGTTGAGTATGTCAAAAGCCATTGTGAAAAAAACATAAGGTAAGTAATGACTGAAGTAAATGTCCATTTGCCATTGTGAAGGGCTGTTCATAAAATAAGTTACGCTCTGAGAGAGGGAGGGGTCTAGAAGAGCATTATGCCGTTTGGTTTTTATGTGTTGAAAGGTAAGGACCTGTGTCTGAGAAGCGTTAGTAGGAAGAGGGGAGAGTCTAGAAAATCCGAAATTCAATATTACATATTTTATGAATGGCCCCTAAGATAGTGCGGCGTACTCCGCAAGATTTTTGAAAAGTCAGAGGTATAGAAATTATTAACATTTTATGAATGGGAAATCTCATCATAAAAATAATACTTTTATATATTGCCCAGTGAACATTTGGTATAGATTTTGCTACCTCCAGCTGTATTCATTTAAGTCATTTAAAACTCTGAAAAACAACCTAGAACTCTCAAAACTATTTGTAAACTCGTTTTTTTTTTGTTTTTCATATATCGTTTCAAAATTATTTTGCAGAAAAGGCTTTGCTCTATTCAGGAAGCTTGACCAGAACCTGTTTTTTTCTATGAAGTTAAAAAATCAAAAACTCTATACCTAATTTTGTAAGGAGACCCAAATGCAATATTTGCTATTTTCACAAATGAAGCTTCATATCTTATTAGGAACAAAGCTCTTGTTTAATAAGTCCTCTGCTAAACTATTAATCATTATCGCAGTACTGATAGAAACATTCATTAAATTTTTTCTTTTTTCTTAAATTAGACTGATGGTTAGTGGCTCTGCTCCGTTACCAAGTCCCATCTTCTCTCAGTGGGAAAAAATTACGGGTCATAGATTATTGGAACGTTATGGAATGACTGAAACTGGCATGGTCTTGTCAAATCCATTAAATGGAGATAGAATTCCAGGTAATGCTTTGCTATTCAATTGGTACTAGCTGTTTCAGACCCATGTCAGAAGCGGATTGAAGTATCCTCTCAGATGAATCAAAAAGCTTTCAATTTAATTGAATTTTAACTTTGACTCTCCTCCAGGCAGTGTAAAAATCATGCTAATTAGATTTTATTGCATGTTGATCTGTTTTATTGTATGCATATTTGCCTGATACATTGCGACTAAATCTTACTCCATAAAATAAAATCAAAAGAATAACGCACAAGAGCATGAGACGCGAAGCGCTTTGGAAGGGTTGGACTGTGAAGTGGTCAGGAAGTGCAGCCTATTTGTCGATTTATAATATGAGACATGACTTTACAGTCTTCTTGTTAGATGATCATGGTAAATAAAACAAATTTGAGGAAATTCAATGAAACTCTGCACCTATCAAAGTTAAGTTCTTAATCCTGAAGAAACTTGCACAGTTCATGAGAAGCATAGAGCTACACATGGAGATCATTGCTATTAAGTTATAAATGCTGTATTAGTGTGGAGAAATCCTGTCAGTCTATGCATAAATGAAAATACTTGGTGATTCTGAATTTGCTTGCTCCTGCATATGCAATACAATAATGACGTTGAAAAACCTGTAATGGAGCTTTTAAGGTATCTTTGGCTTTTATCAAACAATTTTTTTTCTTTTTCTGTTCATTAGTTTTTGATCATTTTTATCATATGTCCAAGATACAATGCTGCAGGGTTTGCAAGTACCAGGAATACTGCAACGTTCGAAGTATTGAACTTCATTTTTTTATTCTATGACTTCCTAAAATACATTAAATATAACCAAACAATCTCAATAATAACAGAGAAAAGTGTAAAAAAGACTGCAGGTTTCAAAGACTACTGGAAGGAAAAATCGGAAATGCCTTTAAATAAAATAGGGGAAAGAAAGCAAGTAAAAATAGACGGCAGTGTAGCATGCTCAAAAATAGGTTCTAAAGGCACAAGCAACGGTTCAGCCATACATGTGCACAAGTAGGATTTGAGACCAAAAATTTCTGAGGAGAGGGGTGCAATTATCAATATCAGCCACCATATTAAAAAAATTGCCTTCTTATAGGGAACATTTCGGGTCCAGGGAGAAATTAAGGTCGCTCTCATTGGCCATATTTTCCGAAGCATATGAATTTGAAAAATATGCTTTTTTTGTGACAAATGTCTTAGGCTCTGTAGGACAGCCCTTGCCAGGAGTTGCAGTCCGAATCGTTTCTGAAGAGAATGAGAAACCAGGGTCTGTAATAATGGAAGCTACCGAATCGACTTGCAATATTTTATCAAAAACAGAGGAAATAAAGGGAACCTTAGAAGTCAAAGGTGACGCAGTATTTCAGCAATACTGGAGGAAGCCAGAAGCAACTAAGCGAGAGTTCACACAGGACGGCTGGTTCAAAACTGGTAAGTTTGTAATTACTGTAAAACTAGTAGGTTGTCCAATCGCTAGAAAAAATTTTCAATGGACCTCTCGACGAGTCACAAATTTAATCATAATGATGTATGTTCCTTCTTCAAAATTTTGCGTAAAATATAATTTGCGCTATGATATTGACTGAAATTGCCTCCTAATAAAATTATGAACGTTTTTATTTAACACTGATTAGCCCTGCTCACAAGAAAAACTAGCATCTACATTCATCAAATCACAAACTACAATGGTTTTGGCATGTAGTTTGGCATGTTGATCATACAGTTTTTCTTCCTTGCCATGTGTTATGCAAAGTCTAAAATGTGCTCAATGTGCTCCTGCACAAGAACTGTTACAATTTAATTCTTTTTCCCATTAAATGTATTCATGTTGTCAATATGTATAGAGAAAATGAGTAAGTTTTCCTACCTCATTTAAGGACACTCCATACTTAGTTATTTCCGGTTTTAAACCGAAAAGGCAACTCAGATATTCTCAGGACAGACTTTAAGTCATCAAGAAAAAGATTAGTTCTACCTTTTTTCATATCCCAATCTGTCTTTTATCTTATAGGTGATGTAGCATGTTACGAAGACAATACTTTCAAACTCTTAGGCCGGAAGTCAGTGGATGTTATCAAGACTGGTGGTTACAAAGTCAGTGCCTTAAATGTTGAAACTGCCCTTCTCGCTCATCCAGATATAGTTGATGTCAGCGTTGTCGGTCTCCCTGACACTACCTGGGGACAAAAGGTTTGTTTTACTCAATTTCCATAAAACAACAGCTAGAAGATTAGCTTCTTAAACAATTGTTAAATGGGAGTCATCAATAGTTGAAACTATTGACTGTGTCTGCAGGTGCTATGCTGTTGGAAGTTTCCAGCACAAAAAATTAATGAAGAGGAAGCTGTTTAGAATCCTAACCTGCTATCTTCAGTGCCTAAAATGCCTGAATTATAACGAAACTTTTGGTTTTGTAACTGCACAGAAATGATGATATGAATCAAACTTGCTTGCAATTAATTCCTCAGAATACTGTTGAGAGTTTTCTGTCAAAATCTCAAAATCTGATTTTTTGACACAACTCGACCAAAATCGATGTACTGAGACCTTTCTGTCATGGATTAAGATTATTTTTCTTGTGAATGGTAACATTTTTCCAAATTCACGGAAAAAAATTAAATGTTGATTTAGCATTTATACTATTAAAAAGATGTCCGGCAAGTTTCAAATGCTGATTTTACAATACAAAAATGCTAACATAACATTTTAATTTGTACGTTTTGCAGTGGGCTTAGTTACGTTAGCATTTGTTAAAATGTAAAATCAGCATTTGAAACTTGTCGGACATCTTTTTAACAGTATAAATGCTAAATCAACATTTACTTTCTTTCCGTGTAAAACTGATTGCTTTTCATTGGAGTCCTGTACGAGAGCTAAATTATCATTCTTTTCTGTTTTAGATTGCTGCGTTGATTGTAGTGAAGTCTGGGCAAGAAATCACTCTTCCAAACCTCCGAACCTGGGCCAAAGAAAGAATACCACCTTATGCTGTTCCAACAGTAATGAAAGTAATGGATAAAATACCTCGTAATGCAATGGGTAAAACGAACAAAAAACAGATAGTACAAGAATTATTTCCAGAACACAAAGGGAACTAGTTAGTCTCTACTTTTAAATGTGCTGAAATATATTTCAGTAAAGAAAAAACAAGAATAGAAGCTTCAGAAAGAAAGGAGTATGTTTGTTTCTCATTTTGCTTCTGTGATAATTGGAATATCTTTTTCCTTTTTATTCTTGACATTTTCAGAACTGCCGACCCTCCAATATTGATTCATGTACCTTTTTTTTTTATTTCTCAAAGATTAAGTCTCCTTTAAATTTGTTAAGCATCACTCTGAATTGAATCTCAATATTTACCAAAAATGATTCCTCTTGTGAAATCATATTTGATCTGTCTTCTCAATTTCCTAACATGATTTTTCCTAATTGGCCAAAAAATGCAATTTTAAAAATTTTTGTTTGTGAGCTCTGTATGGTAAATTATTAGTTTTCAAACCCCAAGTTCCTATATTCCAATATTATTTAGACATCTCTTATAATTTTAAAGGTTCACAGAATAGTCTTGTTAGTTGCGTAATTAGAGAAAATGAAATGACTGTAATGGTTGTTTGAAAAATTGTCCATTACTGTCATTTGAGGAGTGCAGAGAAAGAAGAGGTAAGTCACCTTAGGTACGTTTCAAATCTTGGAAGCTCTGAATTTTTCAATAAATATTGTAACATAAATTTCCTTAAAATTTTTTACCGCAAAATTCTCCTCTGGTTTGAATGGCTCTGTTGAACATATGAAGTAAAGCGAAGTGAACTGACTTTTCATGAGTCAAATCACACACAAATATTGATGAGCACATGAAGAAAGTCTGCAATACACCTTAGGCTTGCAATGTGAGCCAAAGAATTAAGGAGCATTGGCACAAATGAGTGGATTTTAGACTATCATTTCTCATCATGAGATTTTTGTGCGATTTTACTTGCAGAATGTCTATTCATTTGGCTATCTCTTACCTTCAACAGTTCAGTTGACGAAGAGAAAAATCCCTCACAATTTGAACCTCTGTTCTTGGATCCAGAAAAATTATTCAAGATTCACACAATTTTGACAATGATTGTACCTCCTTCTTTCCTCATACTCACCACCGTTTTGTGTACTCTTATTCATTTTTTACCTCCTGGTAACTAGAGTCTCAGTTTGATGTCCTCTCTTTAAGTTTCACAAGCAGAACCGAGTTTGAGAGGAAGAGGGATAGCCAAAATACCTGCTTAATATGAAAAATTGGTTACATTACCTGTCTTTTGAGTTTCATCAGTTTACGCTTGATGGCAGTGTTGTAAATTGTATGTGTATCGAACTATGGAAGGTGAAACTGCAGAAAAGCGCAACTCGGTTGCGGCATTGCAAAGTTACCGCGCCTGTTTTATTTTTAAGGAGACCAAACCAATATCATGACTTGAAATTTTCAAAGAATATCCTTCACATTGAAAAGGAAAATCACCGAATTTTTCAAGAAATATCGTTTGGGTATTCGTTTTTAATACAGAAAATAGAGGATGACTGAAAATTTACAATGCCCCAGACCAAGATATCCATTTCTGCAGTTTCACTATCGATATTTTCAGACTCCAACTAAGGAAAATACTAGAACATGCATAATGATTAGATCTATAAAATTATTTTTCGTTTTTGTTTCTTACATATCTGCAAAGAGAATTTTTTGATTTTGAATAAAAATCTGCTTTATAACCTATTTATTGTTTTCTTTTAAAAACAACCTCTCTTCCCCCCCCCCTCATGAAATTCTGTTTTCAGGATTTACCTAGTGCTTTTCTGGCAGTTTTGACCCTAGCTGAAAAGTAAAAATCATCTGAGAAGGTCTGGCAGTGCTCGAGTTCTCCTATGCTACCTACTCCCATTTCACACATTTTAATGGGAATATCTATGCCTGTTAAAATTTACTTTTTGGAAACAAATTCATAGAAAATACATTTCTGTGCATTTACACCAAAGATTTTAAGAATAACTAGAAACCCTCCCAGCATTTAAGTACTTAACTCACCCAGAAAACTCTGATCCATTCCCTATCTAGCCCCAACGTTTTTCTTGGGTTTTACTTACCTCATCATTTACTTGCAGTGACCCTGTATTCCCAATCCTTTGATGCACTGAATGATTTTCCTCCCCCTCAGATGAACTTACCTTTGGAATGCGAACACATAAAGCTAGGGATGTCGATACTCAGGGAAGTATCGATACTCGGTATCGATACTGGTATCGACTCTAAGCATCGATACCGGTATCGAGCATCGAGCTGAAGTATCGATACTTATGAGGTATCGATACCATCGATACTATTTCTGAATTATGCCGTGATTCTGAGTGTGCGTATGTCTGTCGGCCGTTAAATTCCGCCAGATTTACGCCTCTCTCGAAAAAGCCCTGTTCGCGTCCTCAGTCAACTATTTTGAGCCTTTAACTACACTTATCGAACTGAGCTTTTAACATTTTTATTGAGGTATAATCATTTTGAGAAACTTGATTACTCCGTCGTTTGTCACAGTGCATCATGAAGGTGAAATAGTGGGGAGAGAATTTTTTAAAAAAGAAAAAGAGGCCTTCTTCATGGCCAAATCAGATTAAGTATCGATACCGTCGATACTGGGGTCTTGGCATCGATACTGCATGGTATCGGTATCGTGGAGTATCGATGCCGAGTATCGTTAAGTATCGATCGAAAGTATCGATACTTTGCAAGTATCGGATAAGTATCGACATCCCTACATAAAGCCACTTGTACCACAGCACAGCGTTTAGATACCTTGTTCATCATGTAGGTGTCGAAAAGGTTGAGGGCAAGTTATCATTTTCTAGGGAATTTGGAGTGGAGAATTTGCATGCAAATTTTATATTGTCTCATCTGAAAGTGCTTAAAGAGCTATAATTTTACAGTATTTGTTATAATTTTTTTCTGATATTGGAAATAGTGTAAAAATAGATTTAAAAGTGAGAAAATATGTACCTACACTGTCTAGTGACGTCATCTGGCAGCATTTCCCATTTAAACACTTGTATTTTAGAGGATTGGATTATTTTGTCATATCTTCTCCAATGATTGTTCAATGCTTGAATCAAGGGTATCCTCATGTTCAGTTCACTCAGTAGTTTCCATTTAAACATGAAATTCATCAAATTTCAGACACCTGCAAAGTCTCTGTTCAGAGATTCAGAAGACCAGGTGCATTAGTGCAGTTATTGCTATTTCAAGAAATACATGTTAAAAGTTTCAAAGCCACCCGGAGCTTTATGGCAGAAAGAAAGTTCTGACTCTCTTCTTGATGCTTGGAAATAGGATTTCAGTATAAATTTTTCCCAGAACATATTTGAAGACAACTTAGTTATAGTTGAGATCGTTCATACCTCATTTTTCTCAAAGACTGCACTTATGATGCGCCTTGTTCTCCAAGCCTCTCAATTGAGCTTCATGTTTTCTTTGCTTTTCATTCATTCTATAGTTTTTAGTCTTAAAATACGCAACCTGTCATCTCCTTCTGTGGAGGATCGCGGATAAGTTATTGATCGCGGAAATCAAAGACCCTACGTATGCCCCTGTCTGTAGTTAAAATTGCATAACCCTTTACAGAGCAGGGGCAAGAAGGAGTGTGTGATTGAATGACGTTTTCAGGCTGACGTCACTCAGAGCGAATGATGTTCTTGTTTTCGTTACTACTTTTTTATTTATTATTGTTTACCCAGTTGTCTGTCATCCAAGCATGGTGAATTGGTGAAATATTAATTTAACTTCTAGGATTTCTGGTACATCTTACCATTACTTCAACAACCAGTTCAATACAGAGTCAACCCATCAGGAACTAAAGCCATCGGTACGATTTGTACTATTTACTTTTTTCCAGGAAACCTATCTCTAATGTTGCTCCCCAGTCCCAGTTCTCTAGTAAATAATTTTCGGAAGAGTTTTCTCAGCTCTTGCTCTATCCCTCAATTTAACTGTGCATGGTTATATGAAGTCTGAAAGCAGTCTCATCCACCTCTCACTTTACATCACGCCTTGATGTCCATCAGGGCTTTCTTATGAACAGAGAAGGTAAGGTCTGAACAGCGTTGCCTAGGGGCAGATCATCTTTCGGCAAATAATTTTCTGTCTCTGATGCTCAATTGAAGTAAGCTACTGCAGCTGTTTTAAATTACAATTAACTGATGCCAAATATACGTGTTCAGGTGTTCAAAAATCTTGCTGTAATGATCTGTTAGGTAATATGGGAGTCCCTGCTGAAAACGGATCATCGTTTGAACTTTTTGGTGGCTTGAAGCATTGATTGCGCCTCAATGTTTGATAGAAATATTTATACAGCAATATCTTCCTTTAGAATTGTAACTCAATGCACAATATCCTTCTGAAGATACCAAGTTCAAGAGGGAATGTTTCTGAATTTTTGTCTATTCTGGATATAGTTTGACAATTTTCATTAACAAATTTACTTACTCAATTATTAAAGTAAAAGTTTTTCTTTTTTCAGAACAAAATGATTCGATTTATCTCAAGCATCATTATAGCTTTAGGATTTGTAATTGTCTTCTTCGGTCGCTCTTCAGATAGTTGCAATGAGGCTGTCTGTGCAAGTATTGTCAGCAAATGCATGATTACCCAATCTTGCAAGTGTGATATGAAGAACTGCACTTGTTGCAAAGATTGTTTTAACTGCCTCAGCTATCTCTTCAGCGAATGCTGCTCTTGCGTCGGTAAGAATTTTTTTCAATCCTAAGAAAGAACAAAATCTGTGTGAGTCAAATTGGCCCCTAAGAATAAATTTATATTTTTCCGAATTTGATGAGCAATCAAGTAGTCCAGTGCTTGAATTGGAACTCCATATCTCAAAGTCTTTGGAGGTGGTCAAATGAATTAACTATGTTGCATTTTTTGAAACTGTGAGAGAGGTGTCAAAAATTTTTATAATTTGGAAGCTAAATATTTTTGTTGAAGGATCTAAAATTCGAGTGCACCCATGCATGTATGATGTGATTCATGTTTTTATTCTATAGCTGGTCAAAATCTGAGGCCAATATGAAAGATTGAACAACTCTCCATCTCTTTTGGGATGCTATCTTTAAATAAAAGTAAATCTAAGGTTATGGTTTCAATGTAGATTCTTCTCATCCATTTTTCTATGTTGACAGTGTGAGTCGGCAATCACGTAACTTGGTTTGCAACGTCGCAAACTTCCTGTCATACTTGGTTTTTTAAAAAGAAAACTACTCAACAGCAATTCTTTAAAACTGTCTTATTTTTTCTTCTCTGTGCGAAGAAAATTCTGCAAAAACTTCAAGGAATGATGTCAATTTGTTCTCCTTTATATAAATAGCATAGAGGCAGAGATTTTCAGACACTGCAAACAAAATAAGTGATTGCGGACTTAGGGCGTCAATGTATAATTCACTGCATCCCTTTGACAAAATTTTTGAAAGACCTATTTTCTTCTTTGTGATCGCTGTGACATGATACTTACCTCCTGTTCTATTCCAGATATCTGTCCAAAGCCAAACTCTTCAATCTCTGTTACGAGTCATGTGGAAGATCTCTCGGAGTCATTCCCGTCTCTGTTCCAGTCACTAGTGTCAGAGCCAGATTCTCAGCAAAGATGGCTCACATTCACCTTCCCCGTAGACTTTGACGTTTCTTTCTTCAGGCCAAATTTTGGAAAGGATGTCAAGTATGAAACACGTAAGTTACCATTTACTCTGTGGTCACTGTATTCAATAACCTCAGACTGGTGCTCATCATGAAAGTTGAATGAAGGATTTATTGATGATACTCATTTAGCCAGTCTGAGACTGTAGGAAAATCCTTGCCCTCCATAAATGATATTGGTATGTAACAAAGTAATGTGATTCAGTTTAGATTCTTAGAGTGTTATCTCAGTTTGCTCGGCAAGGGTGTTTTAAAACCAAGGAGCAAAGAAGCAGCAGATCAGCACTCCAACCGTTGCTTAGGAGAATGGAGAGGCCGTAACTAGTCAGTTTTGCGACTTCAAACTAGTAGATGTTTACCAAAAACAGAAATCATCTCCGGGCCATCGGAACACCAATGAGAGAGGCAATCGCCATTTGGACCAATCAGAGTGGCTCTCGATCGCCCAAAGTTGCATGAACAGCACGAATGAATCTGAGTAGAGTAGCGATTATCGGTATTTAGCTTATATTTCCTCCATTATCAGACAATGTCATTTATGGATCAGTCAGTTTTCCAAAGTGACATTTCATCCTTTTTTGAAAAGGTCCCAATGAATTTTTGCATTAGACCAACCCCTGAGAAGATATCTGCACAAAAGGAAAACGCGTCATGCTTTCTGTCACAAGAACACATGTTAAACAGCGGCCAGAGTTTCATCTACTAGTCTGACGTCACAGAAACGTAGTTACGGCCTCTCCATTCTCGTAGGCAACACTCCAACCAATCAACATCAGACTTTTTATGGTACCCCTTTCAGGATATGATTGCCAGGTTTTTTTGCAGCGTGTTTACAGGTCTCAAAGTCAGATAAAGTCTGGAAATTTGTCTCAAAGGTTGAGAAAATGTTTTAAATACTTGGATTGATTGTTTTAAGAAAAGGACAGAACGAATGCTTGTCAGTAATAGGCTAGCAAATTAATTAAAACAAAATTATTCTCCCTCTTCATGACTAAATGTCAGAAATGAATGTTTATTTTTCAAATGTGTTCACTTTAAGAATTAAGGTTCAAACAGGTGTGAGTCTATTCATTTCTCTCAACATTCAATAAAGAGTGGCAAACATGCTCCTAGCATTACCCGCCAATAATAATTAACAAGCTTTAATTACTGTTTCAACTGACCAAGGAAAATTGGCTCTGCGGCTAGGAAAAAGTCTAGAAAAATCCAGAACTTTCCAGGAAAAATTCTGGAAAAACCCTCCTTTTTGGCAATGGGTGTATTTTTAATCCATTCCATAAACAGCTCAATAGTAATTTCTTTTTATTATCTTGCAGTGTTATATTTATATACATTGTCCTTAAACAACCATGTCCAACAAATTATCTCACTTGCTAAAGCGTAGCTTTTCACATTTTGTAACCATTTTTCCTCTTTTCCAGAAAACTCAGAGCAAGAAGTGTACCCATCAAAAGAGATTATAACTTTAAACTGCTCCGTAGCATACATGTCTCAATGTATGTCTTGGAACAAGTGTAAGGCATCGTGTCAATCGATGGGAGCAGCAAGCTATCGATGGTTTCACGACGGCTGTTGCGAATGTGTGGGCGAAAAATGCCTGAATTATGGTATTAATGAGAGCAGGTAATGTAGTTTCTTGCTTTGTGCCATTCACTTTAGTTTTAGACATCTTATTAATTCTCTTTTCCAAGGACCTTCAGCACATCTCTTTTGAATGTACTACCTCACTTATGAATTTCATTTATTTTCAGAATTAAGAAGTGATTTGACGTAAACAGGAACTTTTAATTGAATTGAACTTTACATAAACTACTATGTCCTGCAGTACTTGAATGGTTGCCAAGGGATCATTTGCCTTACATAACACATGAATGGAAATTTTTGCTTGATAGCAGACATGCACCAAAATTTTTGGGGCAATTCGATTTTTGTCAAGTCTTAATTTTAGTCATAAGTTAACTTTCATCATAGTTATTATACATATACATATGTATTATACATAAGTTTTTCTAAAACTTCAACGTAAAATCTACAAACTGATACACTGAAGCCACAATTAAGGAACCAATAAACTGATGCCCAAACGTTTTAAACAGAACTTGAGCAATGATGCTCTGAAGTTTTGAGTTCAAAAAACGTAGTAATAAGGAAAAGGAACATGAAGTTTTAATTAGCCATGTTTTTGTTGAACTATAAAGCAACTTCACGCCTGTATTCTGCTGTGTTAAGAACAACCACTGTATGAACATCGGAATATTGCCAAATTTTCTCTAATAAAATCTTTATTTCTGAGGAAAGTGAATGTTTTTCCTTGAAGTTTTCAGATACTTCAGATCAAATTGCCAAAAATATTCTGGGAGAATTTAGAAAGAAAATATTCTCTAGTCTTCTAGAAAATTTTAGTTTTATAAAAGAAAATTTGACACAGTCTAATGGCTCATTCAGTGTTCTTCTTTAGCACGGCAGTATTGGCACAAATATGAATCAAACTGCCTTCAGCCTATTTTTAGGAAACCAGAGAGTGTTTTCTGTATAAAACACAAAGAGTTTCCAACCCAATGTGATTAAAAATTTTCTGTAAAAAAGTCGCAATAGGGATCCTTTTCCTGCAAACAATCACGTATCAACTACCAAATTACATGTCTCAGTTTGCGACGTTCCCAATCTCTTGTCACATTTTTCTCTTTTAAAAAAGGCAAGATTAGTATTCTTGTACAGAATTTTCTTTGATATTTCCTCTTTCTAGGTCTGAAGAATTTTCTCTGAAAAATTTCCACAAATGATTTGTGCTTTGTCCTTTTGAAGAAAGAAATGAAATATGAGTCAAAATTTTCGAACAAAATGTTAAAGCCTGTGGTTTATTAGTTACACTATCAATATTTATAATAAAAAAAAAAACCAGCCCAAACAGACTGGAAATCTAGAGCTTCTCCTTTCAGGTGCTCAGGAAGTTCCAAGCTTTCCCCCATCCTCATATGAAATTCATGATTGCTTCCCCCTGAAGACTAAGAAAAACCCAATTTTTCTCAAAAACTTGGACTTTTTCACTGCTAAAACGTTTCATTTCACTTAGGGCTCCCCCATTTTTCCCTGATCTCACAGGGGCTCTTTCACTTCACACAACTGACTTTTGACCAGGCGTGGTCTGGAACTTTTCGCACCCCTTATTCATTCATGGTAAATAAAAAAAGGTCTGCAATTACTTGTTGGAAGGGTCAGTTTGGGTAGTTGTTGCCTACTCTATTAAAGCTATTTAAAAAATTACTATGGACTCAGTTTGTTACTCTCAAGTAACTCTATAACTCATCAATAACAGGGAAATTGCCCTAACTAACTCATGAAACTTCTAGAAGTGGTTTATTAAAAACGTACTGCTGGAAATTTGATTTTTTACCGCAATGCATGTGTAATACAGGTCTACTTCCCATGAACAAATTACCTATTACCCAGTTTGATACCCCCACCCTCTAATAAGCGTTGTGTGCTGAATTTTAGATGAAAAATTGCCATTTTACATTGATTTTTAATCTAAGATTTTCGAATAATCTATGCTGGATGCCCATTTCAGTGTTACGTAAATGCAGCCCCCAATGCCTCTCTCCTCCTTAGTGCATAATACATTTTTATGAACAGTCCCCCATAATATGTATCACCAAAGAAAAAAATAATTGTAGAATATTAATACAGCTCTCAACTCAAAAATATGATCCTTTTCATTAACTTAATTTTATTGCAATTTCTTTCAGGTGTCTTCAGTGTCCCCTACCAACTGACACAACGGGAGAACTGGACTATGGAGAAGAGACAGACCTTTAATTCAGAGTCAAAACATTTTTCGATAAAAAGATGACCTGAACATAACGTTGCTTTGGTGCTCTTACCCATCAAAATTTCTGAGGATTCTCAGTCCGACTGATAATGAAAAGTATAAATTCCTCTCCTTTTAAAGTTAAAAACTTTTTACAAAAGATTGACACATGTGCCAACTACAATCCATTTCAAATGTTTGGATATTGACCTCTACTTTCTCCTGACTCAAGCTAGTGCCTGAAGACTCAGACGCAGTGCACATTTTTTTACCAAAGATTTCTACAAATGTTAAAAGCATATTTGAATCCTTTGACACAGAAGACAGGGTTTCATGAGTCAAACCAATTAAATATGAGATAAGTGAATCAATGGATTAAAGTGGTTCCTGTCCTTAAACAAAGTTTTTGCAGTACAAGTCCTCCTATCAAACCTAAGAATACTCCATCTATTTATCTGTGTTCAATGGAGATTTTTAATATATGAAGGAAATCTGCAGTATAAAAATGCACAAGTGAGAGTGTAAAATGCCTTCGTCAAAATTTTTTTGATCATTAAGAAAATTGTATGAAATATATTTGTTAAACATTTTTATATGTATCACATGAATTTCTTTAAAACATTGTGTTTTAAGTGAATTAATTTATCGCAGTATCTAGTTTCCACCAATGAATGTCTGCACAAAATATGAACATTTTGAGTTGATGGAATTTGTAGTTTCGATTTACAATTCATGTGTGTACACTTTTTGGTAGCACATTAATATGCAGCCTCAAGTCTGCTGCACAGGAGGACTTCAACTGTTTTTTTTCTCTCTGTAAACATGTGATAGGGGCCATAAACGGCCTTACTTATCTTCATAAACCTATTGATCATTTATTAAGTCTGTAGAAATGTACCCACAGTCTCTTGTAAATAATTGAGCGAGACCTTTGTATTGTAAATTTCATTCCGTCCTGTTAAAAATGTATTTATCATAGATTAATAAACTTTTGTATCGGATGTATATGTACTTTCTGTATTTTAAACAGCAGTGAAGTGATGAAAATTTTCCAAAAATTTACGCATATTTATGAGGGTCCATAACTCCTGGAGAGGTTCTGGAAATTTACTTCAGGACATTTTTTGCTCCAAGTGTGATTTAATACTTCAAATCTGTGCGTGGGAATGTGTTTTTCTATTGAAGTTTCTAGATAAGTCAGCGTCATAGATTAGTTATTCACTTTTTTAGCAAGTTCCATTTTTCATTTTTCTACCTGCATATTTAAATGACTTTCCAGGGGAGCCATGATTCAAACAATCTGTCGAGCCACTTCTGTCCAATAGAATCTAGTCTTTGAGGCTTTAATAGTATCTTTTTCTCAAATTGAAGGTGAATTTAACGCTTCCAGGATAAGTACAAACTAAATGTCGCCAAATTAAATCAATCATTGGAATAATTATTTTTTGTCTAGTTGGGGAATTTCTTTATAAGGTTCTGAAGTATGCAGAATGAGGAAGTATACATAATATAGCAATTGTAAAATGATACCTTTTCCCTTGTAGCACATTGACGGATACAAATTATGTACAGGATTTTAAAAACATAATTCTCAAATGTATAGGATATCCACTTGTACTCATTTTAGAATTGTGATGGAAAGCAATGTTCAGTTTGCACCAAAAATGTTCTCTTCTACATATGTTGTTTTGATCTGTAAGTCTCAATCTAAGCGTAATTTTTGAATATTTTGAGTTCATCTCTGTATTTATTTAGAGCCCCTCACAAAGAAAAAAACTTTCTATGAACTTCGAAATGGTCAGGCAAGTTTTACTTGACAATTTCAGTTCGTTCTGACCAGTTCCTAAATCTTGTAACAATTTTCATAAGCGCCTTGTATTCTTTGAAAATGTTTTTGGTCTAACTTACCTTTATTTTAAGAGACGACATCAAAAAATACAAAATAAGTACCTCTGTATCCCTAGTTTTAAGTTTAAGTGCTCTCTAATTTTATATTTTAACGTAGGAAAAGCTCTCGAGATGATGTATTTATTTTGTAAGTCAATTTTTATCTTTATAAATGTGCCTTAAATGTTGCTTTAGATTAGTTCTAAAGAGTTGTTTGAACTTCTCTTTAATCAACTGAACCCAATTGTGAACACTTTTATGTGCCTTGTCGAGTTCATTGAAGTAACTGCACCAGACAAGCACATAGTCTGTAGCATTTCAATGAAACTTTTTAGGTGGTTTCATCGTCAGTAGTCAATAGACATTTTTTACCTTAGCTAAAGTGATGTGTCTTTTGAATCTCTTTAATTCGTAGAAACTACTTTTGAAACGCATCCTGTGCGTTCTAATATACCTAATAATTAGTTTTTATTTGAAAGTTTAAGTAGCATAAATATATTTTTTTTTTCTAATTTTGAAGCATTTTAAACAAAATGGTCGCTATTAATTTACGTTACAAAGGTCCATCTGTCGTAAATCTCTTTTTGAAGCCTGTGTCTCCTTCAGCTGACAGTAAAACGTGCCTAGCTGATGATTTTACAATGGTTTTGGAGCAAGTCAGTGCTAATAGTCCCTGAGTAGGTAACTCATATTATCCACGAACCATCAGCATTCGACCAAATTCCAATATTTAAAATTGAATGAACCAGGGTATTTTGCTGTGACATTTGATTGTCAATAAACGAGCTCATTATCTTAGAGTGAAATGCCCATGACTTTTTTGTTTCATCACTGGTAAGGTAACTGAAACATTAAGACTTATTCTGTACTTTGTATTTCTAAAACGTAGATAAAGTATTCAGGGCCTGATCTACAAATTGGCCGCCCGGGGCGACAGGCAGAAGCGCTGTCCTGGAGGGGCGGGGGGAACCCCCAGGAGGGGAGGGTTCTGGGGGGCGCCTCCCCCTGGAAAATTTTTGAAATTTTGATGTCCTTGAAATGAAATTTTATGCTGTTCAGATCAGTTATTTAAGGAGAAAAATACACCTTGGCGTGTATTTAATTTCAATTCCTCAAGAGAAAAAGTAACATATTTTTCAAAATTTCCGAAATTCGGAAGAAGAATACAAAATAATAGAATTGATAAAGCAGGTAATCGCGTTGCGCTAAGCCACGCTGCGTAAATCTCGTTTAACGATCCGTGAGTCAAGTAAAGAGCCGAAAGATAAACATGAGAAAAATACAGTTAAACTAAGCTGCTGAAATAACTGCTGAGATAAATGAACTATAAAAAATAAATAAGAAGGAAAAAATCCCTACCTTGACTCTTACTAGTTTGATAGAGATGCTGTACATTTTTTTTTTGCTGCCCTCGAAAAAATTTAAAAAAAAAACCCTCTCGAATTTTGGCGCCGGGGACACTAGCCCCTGTTGCCCTCCCGTAAATCCGACCCTGAAAGTATTTTTTTTTTTTGTCAAGGCAAGTCATTTATTTAAACAAAATTGATAACAGAAAGTATTTAACAACATAATAAATGAAGTAGAATAAGTGTGCAAGTAAAGTAATTAATTAGGAGATGACTTCCCGAGACATGCCGGAATTACCAGAAGGTATGTATATCTTTGGCTGGAGAAGGGGGTAGGGGGCTGGAATGTTGAGGGTTTCGGTATTGGAGAGATTTGATTAAAATGATTTCTTTTATATATTTTTGTATTATAATCCGGTGTAATTTATTAGCCAAGAAGGTTTTTTGAAAATTGTTGGGAGTTAATGTAGTACCAAGTTCAGTATCAAGTACTAGTTTTTTTGCAAAGGAACGGGAACAAAAGAAAAAGGTATGTTCCGGCATGTTCTCGGTCTGTCACGCGAAATTGGCACGTATTAGAATTTGTCAAGCCCCTGAAAGTATTTGGAAAGCAAATTTTAGGATGTTAGATTTGACTAAGGAGCTAAACTTTTTGGAGTCATTTTGGTTTTATTAGAGTGTCATTTTTGCCACAGGTTACTTCATAAATTGTGAGCAGCGCACTTTTTCAGTGTTGTACACATAATATCACCTTACTTATAAAACAGACCATAGTACTTTAACCCCCCTTCTTCTCAAGCAAAGTAATATCTCAAAGTAGAACCATCTGAATTGCGAAAGTTTTACATCTTACACTTAGACATAAAGCCTTCATTTTTGAATCCCGAAGTTTGTTCAGGAATGTTTTAGTATTTGTGTCATCTGAAGTTCATTTCTTTGACTCATGCCTGTCGCAATGAAATTGGTACTCCTTATTTTCAAACCTCTGATCTTTGCCCTTTATAATAGATACTAGGCCAATAGGCAAAAGATACTATTTTGTTTTGAAAAAAAGTTGAGTAAATGATTTTTCAATTCTAAAATCTGGGTTCTCTTCTTCAAGTGAACAGTATCAAAATTCAGAAACTTGATCTGTAAAGGCTGATTTTGCATGAAAATTTAAAATTACAGGAGGAACCGATACTATTGCTGTCACTCCTCTTTTATGAGATTATACCCAATTTTGCATAGAAAGCTTGTATAAGTTGCAATTTAGATATCTCATACTCTAATACGGTAGGTACCTAAGAAGCACCATGCAAGAATGTACCAGTTTATGATTTGAGGCTCCCTTGTGATGTTTATCCGGTATTTTTATGTAAAAAAAAAAAAAAAAAAAAAAAAAAAAAAAAAAAAAAAAAAAAACCCCAAGCACTCAAATGTCAGTTGATTTTATTTTTCCTGTCTTATCTTGGTTTATTTATCCGACTGGAAAGAGGCATGAACAAACCTAAACCAATACCTAATACCTAATGGATAGAAATAAGATATCTGAATTACTTTGCTCCCTTTGCTTTTCTCTTTGCTCAAATACACATGAGACTTTAGACCTAAAGCGTCCCAAAATCGATTGATGAAGGTTGGTTTTTTCCAGGTAAAAATATCCATAAAACACTCAAAATCACGTCCTGCTCCAGTCATCAATTAATTACCAGTAAAGGCAATGGATCCAGGTCTGAAGAAGTTTATCATCGACTAATATTTTTATCTTAACATAAACATTGTATACTTGATGAGATACTTTTTTTTTGTTCATTTTCATAATATTTTGTACGAATTTGATATCAACTCAGTCAATAAAAGATCAATATTTTAAGACTGCTTCTCCTTACCTCCTGTGTAGCGTCCGATCATTTATGTTCTAACATTTTTCTACAGGTAATTTCTTTGTACAGGAATGAAACTGCGAAGATGTCAACACTTTCCCCATTTTTCCTAGCTTGAATGTTAAATTTCTCTGTACACATAATTGTTTCATTTCTGTAGTCATTTTCAAATCCACATCAACTCAATCAAAAGTCCCCTTTTCGGACTTTTCACCCTTCAATCTTATTAATTATTTCCCAAATTATGATTACTTGATCGACAAGATGAGAGACAGCCAAGGCCCAACAGCCAATGGGAAGTAATGGACAACTTGAAGTAAGCTTGACTATAAATACCCCAGAAAGCCTAAACTCTCGGTCTCTTTTCCAACTCTCAGATCTGTGACTGGTGTCACTCGTTCTTAGGTCTTTTTCTCAACTTACAGGGTTATAGCCCTGTGTAACAAGGTGGAGAAATGGTGCTGGAACCACACCATTTCGCGGGGAAAACAGAGCCAAGAAGTTCCAAAAATTATAATTGGAGTCAAAAATAATTTTTTTTTAACTTTAATGAGTACCTACCATTATAAAACTGAGGATGGAGAGTGTTCAGCTCAGGCAGTTTGCATTGGAATATTGAGTTGGAGTGTATATTCAGTGTTGTTCTTCCAAAACTGCTCGCCTGAATACTAACTTTAACTTTTTGCTCTCCCACGATTATTTCGAATGCTTTTTCAAGTAGAGCCATTAAATGTTTTCAGTCTATCTTATGTGACACAATGCCTTTAGTAGGTTGTCCTACGTCACATCGTGACATTGTACCAAAAACCTGTGTCACTGATTCATCATCATTTCAAGTGCGACAACGGTATTCCATATTCTCAGCGGCTCACCCATTAATGTCGACGAAATTATCAACTCGGTCAGTAATGGGATCGATTTTGTAGGACTGGCTTTTTTTATCTGCTATGGAACGTTAGATCATTTATAGACTGCCTAACATTTTTCCATGGGTAATTTTTTGTACAGGAATGAAAATGAAAAGAGAACATAGGAATTCAACGATAAATTAATTTAATAATTAAAAAAAATATTTAATATAAAAGTATAATTTACAATGCGAGATAAATACATAAAATAAATTAAACTCAATAATAGATGTCCCATATGGTAGAATGCGACAGTGAGAATACAGTGGAATCTAAACGAGTCAAACTTCAGTTAACGAGATGCTGTTTGACAATGAGTCAAAAATTTTCCTGGTTCTTGGACAATGCCGTAAGAATCAATGTAATAAAATACAATCAAGACGAAATCAGGAATTTTTTTGCTGAGAAGAAGCTGCAAAAATCAAAGGGAATTTTTTGAAAATCTCAACAATATTTGATTTCAGGTGAGGAAAACATGAAAGGAGCAATTAAAAAGAAATAAACCGAACAGAATTGGATGTAAAGTAACGTTTCTATGTTCTAATGATGTCCTCTGATTAAACCTGTTATTAAATATTAAAATATAGATTTAAGTTGAAAAATTCAAAAAGTATTTCAAAACTTCTGAAATTTGAAAAGAATTGTATCGCTAACTTCGATGAATTTTTTCTCAGTTTCACTGTCTAGTCTCAAGAAAGATGGACTACATCTACATAAAGGATTAAGAAATTTTTAGTCTTGAGCACGCTCATGAAAAAAAAGTCATCATTTCGAAGATGAAGAAAATTTTTTTCCTTTAAGTATTGTTTTGCACAATACTCAAAAGCTAAAGTAAAATGGATTAATTTTCATGATCCCTCTTTTCGACACTTAAAATTCAACAATTTAATGTTAACAGACCTGTATAATTAGATTAAGCTCAGATAATGATACAAGTACAATAACATTCATAACTCGACGATGTCATTTCCAAATTTTACCTTGAATTTATAAGTGTGATAAATTATATCGACGGTGAAACTCCCAAACCATGTATCTCATTTCCTGTACCAAAAAATCTCTGCCCTTATTTTTATTTAATTTTTAAAAAGAACAAATCACATTATTCCTTGAAGTTTTCTCAGAATTTGCTTTGTAATATGAAAAAAATCACGAAAATTTTCAAGAATTGACGTTAAGTCCATTTAAAGAATGAAGTATGAAAGGAAGTCTGCAACACGACATCGCAAACTGAGGTACGTGATTGGATAGTTTCACCGTCGTTATTTATTTATGAAAATTTTTGTGGAGTGGTATTTGGAAGGAAAATCTTATCATTATTTTCTGTGAGAGAATAACAGAATTGAGTGTGTTCAGAATTGAGAAAAATAAATTAATTCGTAAAAGTTTCAGAGGTGTGGAACAAAATCGGTGTTTTTGTACTGAGGTGCACCACTGATATGTAAGAATTTTGATTCTTCCGAGAAAAGAAGTATACAATTTTCTTTGCATAAGTGTACTGGGAAGACACTCCTCAAAAGAAGCTTTGTTTCAACAAAATACTTCCTACTTTATTTAGATATAAATGGTGCATAAAGCAAAGCAATTATATCATTGTACATCATCTTTGGTGCACATTTAAGTACTCTTACTAAATGATTATGATTTACAAAATTTACTTTTTTTTTATGACAATAATTAGAGTTTGTCTGTTTTTAAAGGCAGAGGGCACTTAACAAGTATAACATGTATTAGATATTGAGGATTCACTATTTACAACGCTTAAATACATGTCAAATAATAGTAAATAATACAGTTTGTATAAAAATAAAAAGTCGGGGGATTATTCACGTTAATCAAGTTAAGTAGTTACATTAAAATTTAAGTGCCCACATGAGAGGCCTTAAATTAAAAGAAGAGGTTGGTAACTAGATATGAGGAGCACCATTACAGACAGTAAGACACATATGACATTTGTGCTAGATTCTTCTAATTTAGTGTGATGAGTTTCATTTTACATGAGTATAATCGCACGGTGCTACGGTCCATAACAAGGACGCTGTCACTTAAATTCAGATTTTTCCTTTTCCAGATTAAATTCTTCAAGAAAAGAAAATCCTCCAATCACCATCATAGCTCATTTTTCTATTTTGAGTTTCCAATGCTGCAATAAAGTCATTTTAAAAGTATGACTGGCTGCTTTTCATTTATTGAATATTTGTTGAAAAATAATAGAGCAAATAATGAATGAAGCTACAGCAGTTTTGTTCTGGAGGGCAATGAGCAATTCCGTGACTTATCTCCAAACTAGGAATTATGTACGACAATACTTGTTTCTTTTGCTTGGATTTTTAGATTTTGGATGAAAATTCAGAGTTGATCAGAGAGAAGCAGCTAGGGTGAGAAAATATTAAGGGCAAGCAGGAAAATATATGGGTATCTTAAAAATAGGTTCCCAAAATCCTACTTAAATTTCATTACATCAATGAATACTGTTGCATGAAATTTTAAAAGAAAACTCATGATGCAACAAGAAGTCACATAAGTTGAAGGAATACATAAAAACGGGATTCTCTCATACAAATAAAACAAACGTTCTGAAATTATCATTCATTACTGACTTGGTAACCTAACCAATACCAAGATAATTGATAGTTTTATTATTTCTGACCAACTCTTAACTTGGTTGACTCCTTCGCTGCTTCCACAGTGCTAATAATACATTTCCGCAAGGTTACCAGCTCAACACTGTGGAAAATAAAATGAAAAGAGTTTCTCTTATTGTAAAATTTTGAATCCCTTTCTACTGCATTATTCTTATTCATAAACTTAGAAAGCAGTGGAAGAAGTATTTTTAGGGGCTAAACCATTTAGTGAACTCGATGCTGCAAAGAGGCAGACGGCAATTCTTAATGGAGGTAATTCAGAGATGAGAAAATAACACCTAAGATTAAACGGTTCACTCAAAGAAACATCACCATCACTAAGTAACAACAAGTCACTATCATCATTCTTCCCAATCTTCATCATCATCATCCGAATCATCAGAAGATGAGTCCGAATCACTGTCACTCTGTAAAGCGTGAGCTCGCTCAGCCAGAGCTTTGGCCAATGCTCCCGCTAAACTATCCGGTGGCACAGTAGAGGCAGTTGTCTTAGAGACTGGTTGGACAGCTTTAAGTTCAACGCCTTGTCTTATTTGGTCTAACAACTCATTGCGTGTGTCCGGCACTACCCGCCTAGCGGTGTCGGCTTCTACATGTTTCAACCTGGCTCCAGTTCGTATTGATTCCATCAACGCTGAGTGAGGGTCGACTGAGTTACTAGGTGTATCTCCTTCCGATCTGTGCATAAGAGGAGGTGGAGGAGGCACTGAGCTTGTTGAAGGGGCTGCAGCTGTGACTAGAGGGGCCATTGGTGGAGGGGGTGGTGGTGGGGGAGGAGGAGCGAATGCTTCCGTTGGACGTGCTGCTACCACCTCCGAGATTCTTGACATATGCTGCGTTTGCTGTGCTACAGTTCGCTCTGGCACAGGGGGAGGTGGAGCAGGAGGGGTATGGGGTGGTACTTGGGGCGCCATAGGAAGGCGTGATGGAGGTAACGGAGGCGCTGTCCTGCCACTGCCACCAGATAGGACCGTCCTCCGAGGCACAGGGGGTGGCGGGTTACGGATGTCTTCCTTCACTGCATCCACACCACCATGGGAATCGATGAAGCTGTAAATGAAGTCGCGTGTTTTCTTGTGTTCTAGATCTTTTTCGGAGATGCCAGCCTGTTAAATGGACACAGAAAAGCACAACACTTAGATATTCGGTTGAAGAAAAGGGAGAGAGAAAAGTGGGGTTAAACAAATGAAGGTTGTGTGGCATTGTAGGTTTCATACTGAAACAATTTTGAAGGCATTCAAGTGATGCCCAGTATGCAATAAATTTTGAATTAAGAATAAACAAATAAGAAAAAATAGAATCAATCAAGATTGAGAATTTGGGATTCTAATGGTGAACAGAACACCCTCCTCCTTCCATGGCAACCGATCCCATATCAGGCTAAAAACAAAATCATCAATTACAGTATTCAAGTTGAAAATAATTCAAGGAAAATCCCTGAGTGAAATTGCAGTATAAAGATAAAGTGTGAGCAGATTTACACACATTTCAAGATACCAAAGTTTATAAATCTTACTTGAGCAAACATTACTGTGAAATAACCTAAAAGTAAACTTTTGATAAGTCATAAGTTAGAGTAGTATGTTACCTTGGATATTGTGACTAACTTTAAAAGAAATTTATCTTCCTTTGGTAGGTGACCTTCTTTAGGAGGCCATTGCCACTTGCAGCAATCATACTTTCTCATCGTTGTTGGCTCTTTCTTGTTTGTTTGTTTTGTTTGTTTGTTTGTTTTGTTTGTTTATTTTTTTGTTTGTCTGTCTATTAATTACATCGTATTTTTAAAATTTGTACACAGTCCCTTGAAATCAGTGTGTATCAGCAATGAATTTAAAGGACCAGATTTTGCAATAAGGATCTGCAATTTTTATCTCATACATAAGAGCATCTATCTACATCTTCCACTTTGCAACAAGAAACCACTCGTCGATTCCTACTAGATCATTGCATGCCTATTAACAAGTTTTTAAACGCACTCACATGCACGGAAAAAAATGAATTGCTGATTCAACAATTCAATTGCTAAAAACAGTGAGTGCAATGTTTCAACGTAGATTTTACAACAAAAAAATGCTACTCTAACCACATTATAAACTAATTTAACCACGGGGGTGGTTAAAGTAGCATTTTTTTGTTGTAAAATCTACATTGAAACATGGGACTCACTGTTTTTAGCAATTGAATTGTTGAATCAGCAATTTAATTTTTTCCCGTGTGTCTATCCTCACAGAGTGGTTCAGGGGTAAGGCAAGAATAATGGAATATTCATTTTTCCATTTGAAGCTATGGTAAAGATTTGATTATAAAGTGTTCATCACAAGGATCCTGATAATCATTCTTTTTCTGTAGTTTTAAATGGCAAATCCATCAATTTATCGTGAGGTACAACATGCCGCTGATGCGGTTGTTTTAAAGAAAAAAGGCCTCTCCTTTCCCAAAAAAACTCTGGTTCTTTTCTACACAAAGCCATCCAAATATTTCTTCAAAAATGAGTCAGCAATAAGGGTTCCTTATCGTAAAATTTAGTCTATTTGAGTCTCTGCAAATTATTACCTATGAATTTGACTAGGAAAGGAGAACTGAGGAAGGGGGTCAGAAATAAAGAGAAAAATTTCTTTTAATTGTCATTAATACTTGTTAGATGTATGGTGTTGGTACTAATATTTTCTTTTACTTGTTTTGACGCATAACTTATAGGATGCTAGAAACAGGCGTAGAAAGGCCTCTGGCAAAATAAATTTAAATTTATGACACCTTTGCCGTTGTATTCTTCAACTGTTCCATACCTAACTCTATTGGTGTTAGCATAATATTCCAACAATTTTTGACTAGAGAAAAGCAATAAAGTAAAGCTACATTTGCACAAAATTAAATGGATATTGTAGTTTGGATGGGCACAGGAAGCCAGAGAGCCAATCCTATGGACTTGGCCAGGGTCTTTCTACAGCTGAATAATTTACTTGGGGGAGGTTCTTTTAACTCAAAGTAACCATACCAAACCCTACAATAAAAGATATCGTCTCTGACTTGGCTCTCTTGGTTGCTAGGGGCTGCAGCGAGTCTAAGTCTAGGGCTTTGATCTCAAATTAGGTATCATTAGCAGAGTGATTAACCCTTAACCTTGTGCGTGTGTCAAAACAAAGTTGGCAAATGCCGTTAACATTTAACACAACTCTAATTTGGTATATTCAATACTTCAGGTGATTAATACTTTTGTTCGCTTGGTTCCCAACCATTAAGAACTTATTTCAATAGCTGGTCAAATTCTCACCTTTAAATTCATTTGACTACATTTTGATCAAGATTTTTTATTTGGTTTAATCCACCCAACTTAGAACTCTGTGCTAAAAATACAGAAATTATTAGCTTTTTTGAAGAGTGAAACAAATTGGAATTGCAAAAAAAAAAAAAAAAGTGCTAATAATAGAACAAAAAAATACCTTCTCGAAAAACTCTTGAAATATTGGGTCTTCCACATTGTCAACATCAAAACCTCTGTTTGGGTTCCATCCAACATGCTGAACATGAGTAAAGTTTTGGGGGAGACCAATATCAGCCTTGGTGAATTTGGTTTTTCGTTTTTTATCCTTGTGCTTCTTTTTCATTTGACCTACATCCAGAGAAAAAATAATGAGAAAATGTAAATGGATGAATGCAAATATGAAATCAAAGTTTATTTCAAAGTTCATTGCTGTAACTCAGGAAACGCTTGATGTCCTCCCACAACAGGGTATCAAGCAACTTTCAAAAAAAAAAAAAAAAAAAAAAAAAAAAATCATCCCTGACATTTCCTGATTTTCCTGGTTGCAAGACACACTGCACAATGTAAGTCAAAGAAATCCTCGAAGGTTATGTGAGGATCAACTACAAAAAAAAAAGTGCAAAAATACCTAGTTAAAGTTTTTCCAATTTAACGAGGAAAAGTTACAGCAATTTAGTTTTATTGATCTTAAAAAATTCAATTTCTAGCAAATTTTGAAATTCCATGTAAAATCAACAAATTGACCAAAATGATCTGACATTTGGGGAATATTTTTTTCTTCAATACCAAGGTACCTACAGCCCACCAAGTGTGAGTAGTGTCTAAGAGGTCAAGGTTCAAAATTTTGTTGAGATTATATGCAATGACCTGATAAACATACTTACTTGAATTGTTAGAATGCATTTTTAGTCGGCAGTTCATATAATGAACACATTTTGGAAAAAAATTTCCTTCCTGAGGTTAAAGTTATTTTAATTTATCATAGCAAAAGGTACAGAACAGAGGTTACTTTGAAAGAGCAATGAAACAGAGCTGAAAGATTAATAATTTAGGTTTTTCATATTATGTTTAGATACATAGTTTCATGACATTTTTAAAGTAACTCGTGTAAAAATAAGGAATTCAGGAAAAATGGTTTACTTCATACTATTCAATATAAGCATCTCCAAAAATATGACAAAATCTGTGAAAAGTAACCTTATCTTCCAAGGGAAAATTTTCCTAGACTTTTTTCAAACTTATGAGGGAAGAAATCTGGATATTTTGGCTCAAGTTTGACGCTGAAAATTCAAAAATTGAAGGAGATATGAGTCCTAAAGTTCCAAAACAAAAATTCTTAGGTTGTAGAAAAATAAGGTTTCAGCTTTCGCAAAAATGTAAGGAAAATTTTCTCCTTGAAGAAAAGGGCACAAATGGGTCCAGATTCTACAAATAAATATAGAATATTTACATATGTGGAAAAAGGGGAGGCTTACCGATAGATCCTGAACTCAAATATTGGGGAGAGGATGACATGGAGCCATTTGTTAAACTTGGCTGATTCAGGCTGGTAGTGCGAGGGACAGGTTGCGTCATATGTCGGACTTGATTACCAGACCTGGATCTCTTTTCTAGAGGAATAGAGGCAAACAAACATGAAAAATAACGAGCAAAAAAATGATATTCCAGCTGATTTAAAATTTTTCTACAAGCTCTCATATGACATGTTTTCTTTACCGACATTTGTGCTGCAAATTTTGGGAATATGTAACTTGGGTTGAAGTAGGTCTAGCGAGAGCCTGCAGGCAGTGTCTGGAATTAAATGCAATGCTGAAGGAGTCAGTTGAGGAGCATTCTTATCTTTAGTAAGTTGAAATCATATTGCTTAAAAGAGATACATTTTATGAATAAATTTGTAAAATTAATTTCACATTGATTTTCAGACTTCCAGGGAAGGTATTTCGGAGTTAAGATCTGGAAAGAGCAAAAATAGTGCCCTGCAAAGTTGATACGCAAGACAGAGATGAGCATTATACAAAGATTGAAAGGTGGTGGGCAGGATGAGGGCGCGTTCAGAGGCCGCCAAGCTGCTAGAAGCACCCCATTACAAACATGTATTTATCTCCCCTAACACCATCTGCAGCTAGCGCTGAACGTACCGGGTCTTAGGAGGTGTGTTCAGAACCTTGATGCACTGTTTGATTACACCTTTAATCTTAATTTTTAGCTTATTTCTGGAATGCCAAATTTAAACGCAGTTTCAACTTTATAAGGGCTATGCAGAAACTCTAGTGTGCGAGAGGTAACTGATATCACAGTTGACCGGAGGATACAACACCAACTACATGTCAGAGCCTACTGTGAATGGAGCTGATGTTGGATTTTAATAAAAGTAAATCTCTCTCAAAGTGTCACAACCTGATTCTTAGTGACACGAAAAATGCTTGAGAAAGCAGGAGTGCAGAAAGGTCTTGGCCTCTCCCAATTAATAATTTGCCTTCCCAAAAATTTGTTGTTTTGCTATAATTGCGCCTCTGGAAAAAAAAAAACGCTTAACAGTTTCCTTCCCCATAAGCAGTGCACTTATAAGTTTCCTTCTCCAAAAGCAGCAAAGAAAAGCCTTCCTCAATTTTCATGCGAGCAGCCACGCACTCATGATTACGTTATTGAGAATATTCTGCACCCCAATGAGATGGAAATTCTCAGTTTTGACGAAAGAATTGGGAAAAATTCGATTGTTTTTTCTCAACTTTCATGTGGAAAAATGGACAAAATCAGACTAGGAAAGGAGGAGGAGCATAAAGCATGCAACAAACCTAATCTCCTTTGTCTCTTCGTTTCTAATTTTGCTATTAAAATTGAATGAAATTTGCTTGCTTCTTCTGTGCTGGCGAAATTAAAGGCAATGATACAATTCTGTAACAAAGGATAAAAACAGCGTTGATGTACTGAAGGTTCACACATAATAAACACGTTTTTGAAAAAATGTTTGATTTTTACCAAAACATATTTATGAAAAAAAAATGGAGTCTCGATTTCAGCTTTGTATTTTTTTTGTCCCATGGAAAAGTTTTACTTCCAAAAACAGGGGACGTAAAATGTATGCAATTCAAACATCAATCAAAACTAATGAATTTGATGCACTCATAATGCGAAGTCAGTTGTGCTAGTCACAGAATCGAGTTTTGATGCTTCCAGATTAGAGATCAACAAAAAATAATAAGATCTATCCAAACGTCATGTTTCCACATCCAATGTTAACAAAGATATCGCTCTTCAGGCAACGCTATGTAAGATGTCATTCACCGCGGTAGCACAAACCATGCTTTCTTCCACCATGCTTTTTTCATCCTTACCTATTTAAAGTTGAGAAACTGAAGTGCCAATAAGTATCACAAATTGATTGATCCAAAGTAGAGGAAACCACAGTATGTACTGCGGTGGATGATGACATACACTGTGTTTTTCAAAAGGCAACATCTCTGTTTACATTGAACGTAAAGACTAGACACTTGAACAGATCTTAGTATTTTTTGCTATGTAGTCTATAAGCGTGGATTATCTGTAACTTGCACAACTGACTAATGGCAGATGAAGAGTTTTTACCGAACAAGTTTGGAAAAATATTTTATTCCGGCCTTTAATACAGCTTTCTTCAGATGGAGTTTAACACATTTGAAAGAATTTAAAAAATGAGAATATTCAGGAAATATCCTCCAGTTCCAATAGATTCTTGTAGGATGCCTGTGAGAATCTAGCAAGAGGCCTATCTTCTGACACACTGATTACTCTACAGAGAAAACAACTGGTGACTTTCATGAAAATACACTTGTTGAGTGCATATGTATTTAACTGGAATGACACTTACTTCCCCTTCGAAAGTGTGTAAGAAAGGTCGCGGGGCAAGATAATCCATTCTGTTATATATTTCATGTTCCCACAGAAGCATCTTTTGATTGATGCAGTACAGTCGAAAGAAATAAGATTTTCTTGGATTATCTTTAACCAAACATAGCACTCCAGTTTCTTGCTTGTGCCATTCGACATCATTTGATCCTTTTGTTGAGAATAGTTGCACAACAGTTGATGCCAGAGTCTGAAAAACGGACAAGAAAAATCAGAATGAATACTTTGATACTTTGAAACTCATTAGGTAAATTATGTGTCTCTGATTCTAAATTTTGTTTTTTTCTGGCTTTCAATTTCCCCAGAGTGCATTTACCATTTTTTCTGTGTGGACCCAGCACCAGAGTCGGGAAAAAATTATTTGGAAATTATTTGGTCAATCAGCAACATCTGATCAATCGTCAATCGGACAATTAATTTGACGATTGATCTATCTTATCAGGTAGAAAATTCTGAGGTCCGAGCGTCTAATTAGAGTTGCCCCACCAATTTTAGTAATTGCTGAATTATTCACGCCCAACTCTGCCCAGTGCTATCCTACCATCCTATTACTTACATATTCAAGCCATAATTTTAGCATTTTATGTCTTCTCCTTGAGTATACAGAGACACAAAGAGAGGAAAATTGGGTACTGTTAAAGTCTGCCAAAGTAGATTTAAGCACTTATCAGTGCACATAGCATGATTTAGGAGAGACAAGAGACTAAGTGAAATAATGATTCAATGTTGAAATTTACTTATTAATTGTCAGTCAGTAATCATTAATTTGGGAGAGCATGAATTCATTGATTACAATAAGCCGGTCCAACAAAAAATTATTGAGTGCTGGCAACTCTCTCTTTATAAATGTACAAAAAAACTTTTGTTGAAACTTACGAAACATCGAGGTCCGAGAAGGTAAAACAGTTGCTCATTTTCTTCCTTGGACAGCAAGCTAGAACCAATGTTTTCAGTTCCTCCGCCTTTGTTGGACATTTTTGGGACAGAAATGCAAATCTGATTTTGTTAAAAGAGAGATAATGATGATACTGCAATCTGAAAAAATAAAATTCAAGTTTAAAATTCTTTGAGATACCAAAGGATACCTGAAAAATTGTACTCAGAAAAAGGGAGGAGGAAATAAATAAATAGTGACAAGCAGTGTACCTACTGGAATAACAACAGATCAAAGGGCAAGAAATCTCGCTAACACCCAATTTATCGGTGAGAAATAGTAAAAAAAACACCAATTCTACAGAAATGTAAAAAAAATAAATATTTTCCTCCAATCTTAAAACTTTTAAGAGGGCTGTAACCATGTTTGTGTGCAAAATTAACTTTGCAAGCAGAGATGTTCAATTTTATGGCAAGTACTACGATGATTCGTTAGAGGATCTACTTATGGCATTTAGTGGAGTAGTGATGAATCTTGGCAAGAAGGACCTCCAGTAAAAGGACGATGACAGGCTATTTTAAAAGATATGAGAAAGTGCCAACTCCCTGATGGGGGAAAATGTGGATAGAGGATTATGAAGACTAACTTCGTAGAATGCCAGATGATCAAGATTTGTTCAACAAAAGGTGATGTAAGGCAGCTCTTATAAATGCATGTGATTAATTATGAAGCGTAATACAGTGTCCTTTATCTCTGCAAGTTTGATCGGTGAAACATTATGAAAAAATTGCAATTTTAATGCCAAAACAAAGTCGACAGATCTAGGTCAGTCCGTCAGGAAAGTTGAGTGTAATAATCTTTGCAAAACGGGGGCGAGGGCTGTCCGCGTTGCCAGAAGATTCCCCCCATTTGCTTGTCCCACTTTGCTGTTCCCCCAATCCGATTACATTGGTCTTATGCAGATCAGGGAGATGGGGGAACTATGCAGTGGAGCAGCGCAAATTGGAGTAACGCTAGGAAAGTAGTGAAACAGAGTCAAGGGAATTCATTGTCAGATCAGAAAATTCCGAAGAACATCTTGCTAACGGACTGACTCAGGTCTATCAACCTTGATGCCAAAAGACAATAAAACAAAACAGTGCAAGGACAGTACAATCAATTTTTACAGTTTTAATTCATGGAGCAAAATGGTAACATCAACTGCTCTAAATGACCTAATGCCCTGAAGAAGGTCTTCCAGGTAGCCATAGAAAGAGCTTATCTTCGGATTCTTATCTGTTCCTGCTATCAAGGACTAACTTGCACAACCACATCTTGGGCAATTGCACTGCAGCCACTTCATAAGCCTTAAGTTGTGAGACCATGATTTCACTTAAGTTTCCTGGAATCAAGTCATCGCACAGCTCAGTTCCCGATTCATATCTTGTGAGAACCTTAAAGAGACAAGTCGTAATGTTCTTTCACCAAGGATTACTGGCAGAACTTGTGACCTTCGGTGTGCCAAGCGACGACAGGAGAGTTCCTTGAGGTTGGAATAAGGAAATAGAGATCAAGGAGTTTAAGTTACAGTTCGAAGACTAATTTTCCATTGTAAGCCAGTGACACAGCAACCCTGTTAGACACCAAGATTCGTAAAGAAGGAAAAATTCTCCTTGAGTTTGGCTGATCGAGACATTTGAAACTCCAAAATAAGGGGAAGATAAGCATAAAATTTAAAATCCTGCAACGATTATTTGGGAGCATCTGATTAGAAATGATTACACCCTACAGAATTTCTTAACCTAACTACTTGTGTTGTGTGTGATAACTTACGAGTCGCGACCCCGTTCGGAGCTGTAAATTCGATGGACGTCCTAAAAACTTGAACCGATGAAAAGATGAAACTTGAGAATCTTGGACGAAGTGACTGGAGTCACGAAAACAAGAACGCGAAGCTAGAAAAATTAAACAATCAGCGAAGTGGGTGTACTTTATTGACTTTATCACTTCATTATCAATAACAATAATAAAACGAGCAACACTGTAAAAACCTACTGCAGCTGACGGCTGGGCGGGGGAAATTCTTGGTGGGGGTCAGTTCTTGGAGGAGGGCTCTGTCTCAAGATGACGTCATCAATTGCGAGTAGGCTTTTTCGTGTTTTTGCCTATGTTCTCAATTGAAGGCAAATTTTAAAGGAAGCTTCCGGCCTCTCTCTGTTAATATGGTCTGAGGTACTGAGGTAACTATCATTATTCTAAAAAAACATTCCCCCGATAATTCTGATGTGTCTTTCTATTGATGCATTGGGGGATTTTTTTTTCTTCTGGAGCACTCTTAAATTCTCTTAATCCTACGATGCTCAACACTTTTTTTATTCGCTAAGACCCAAGTCGGGTCAAATTGACCCGTATTTGAATACACGGATTTTGATAGTTTATTAAGTAATATCTAAGTTATTTCTATAACCTTTTGAAGTTAAAAAATATTCTCACCCTCTCCATAACATATCGGCGCTTTCTCACCCTCTCTCATCCGCCACATATAACTCCGCCGGAAGAGGTAGTTGGGTCAATTTGGCCCGGTTTTGGATTTCTAGGGGTAGTCGTCAAAATTAGTCCCTAGCATAAGGCAAGAGCATTCCAATGTCGCTAACCTTGCAAACATAAACGATCATCTAAACTAGTTTCACCTCTACTCCCAATAAACTATGCAATCAAGACGAAAATTACCGTTGCAAAGTTTACTTTTTGCAAAGAATGTACCTAAGTTGCACAATTCTAGCAGCATTGAAATGCTCTTGGTTCCTTTTTGCAAAATGCGATCCAATTGGTTGTTGCTGCAAAAAAATAGTTTCCCACACTTTTCGGGAAGTAAGCCTTTCCCCTACCTCGTTTCTCACTTAATATCCGCCCGAGTTTTGCATATCTTCCGTTTCTCCTCATCGCAGCTTCCATCAAACCGCAATTGCCCGGAAACTAGAACCGCACGTCTTATCTGATAAAATCGTTCGCCCTTTAAACCGATTCTGGGGGGTTAGGCTAGACTAATCGATGAGTCAACTGTTGATCTAATTTCATTACGTGAACGTAGAAGAAAAACGGGGTAAAAAATCACTAATGTGTGATCAATTTTCAAGGACAATTCTGTAATTTCTCCAACGATTTTAAATAGATTAAAACGCGTAATATCCAAAATCTAAGCTCAGATTCGGATTCCTCGTGAAAACTGATGCGATTTCATGCATTAAATTTTAGAATAGCGTGAAGGAAAGAGGTTTAATGACGTAAAAAAACACTAATGTGTGATCAATTTTCAAGGACAATTCTGTAATTGCTCCTACGATTTTAAATAGATTAAAACGCGTAATATCCAAAATCTAAGCTCAGATTCGGATTCCTCGTGAAAAATTGATGAGATTTCATGTATCATATGTTAAAATAGCGTGAAGGAAAAAGGTTTAACGACGCGTGTAGATTCTGTCATACTTTCCCTTTGAACTACGCCGCCGCGGCGCTTAGCGTTCGGTTTCGTCCCGAGGGATTCCTCACGATAAATTCTTATTCTTCCTCCTCCGCTGACCCACTGAGCACAACCCATGTTGCCACGTTGGATTCATATGCTCGAATCAGTATGTCTACGTTATGTCTCTTTCCTTCACGCTATGCCCGGGTATGATACATGAAATTGTATCAATTTTTTACGAGGAATCCGAATCTGAACTTCGATTTTGGGTATCACGCGTTTTAAGTAAAATTTTTCGACTTCAAAAATCCGAGATGACTGAAGTGGCTTAAAATGCCATCTCGGCTCCTGTTTGACGGGTTCTCCTGAAATTCGGTGTCAGGGTATGATACATGAAATCGCATCGATTTTTTACGAGGAATCCGAATCTGAGCTTCGATTTTGGGGATCACGCGTTTTGAATCAAAATTCAAAAAATTCAAAATTCGAAAATTCGAAATGGCTTAAAATGCTATCTCGGCCCCTGTTCGACGGATTTTTCTGAAATTCGGTGTCAGGAGGTATTTTTCGACAGGAAACTCGAATTTTTAGTCCATTTTTTAAAATTCTCAAATTCAAGATGGCGGACGTGGGCTAAAATGCTATCTCGGTTTCTGTTTGTTCGAGTCTTGTGAAACGCGGTATCACACGGTATTTTTCAACGGAAAACTCGAATTTTTAGTCAACTTTTTAAAATTCTCAACTCCAAAATGTTGGATGTGGCCTAAAATGAGCCCCGGTTCTGGCCTCCGTTTCTGTTCGTTAGAGCTTTGTGAATCGCGGGATCAGGGGCACTTTTCGACGGGAAACTCGAATTTTTAGTCGATTTTTGAAAATTCTCAAATCCAAGATGGCGGACGTGGCCTAAAATGCTATGTCGGCTCCTGTTCGATGGATTTTTTTGAAACTCGGTGTCTGAGGGTATTTTTCGACCGGAAACTCGAATTTTTACTAGGTTTAAAAATTCTCACATCCAGGATGGCGGACGTGGCCTAAAATGCTATGTCGGCTCCTGTTCGATGGATTTATGGCGCCCCCTTACTACATGCCTACTCTTGTATTTCTGTACAGCCGCAAAAGGGTCAAGGAGCGCCTGACCGTCTATGGACCAGGTGGAGTTTTTGTCCTGAAAATTTGCCTTTAGACGGCAATTCTCTTTATATTTTGTCTATGGTTTTTATGCCCCCCCTTTCTCGCGGACTCTCTTTTCACTTTTCTTGCCTCCTTTTTCCTTCCATTTCCCCCCTTCTTCCCCCTTGTCCTTTCTTCCCTTTTTTTCCTTTTCCTTTTCCCCCTTTTTTCCCTCTCTTCTTCTTTCGTGGCGCCCCCCAAAGGCTGGCGCCCGTGTGCGCCGCACGCCCTGCACACGCCCGAAGTCCGGGCCTGAGCATGACACCTCTTGCCAAAATACCAATTCTTTGAAACGCGTCCTTTAGGGCGTTTGAGAGATCTTTAAACCTTTTTTTTTCTTTCTTTTTTCCTTTTCAAATGATTATTGATTTGGACACTCAAACCATATTTTCAACAAACTTGACCTTGACATTTTGCAAATTTCCTACATAAGGGACACCTGCACGTGCAGCGATGACGGTGCAGAGATACAACTCTTCGTACTTGATGGATGTCCGTGTTGCATCTGCAAAATTGAAGGCGCGATGGCGCGAGACGTGATCTCGCTTACTCGCAATGCTCTGCTCTATGATGCCGACGCGGCGAGGTGTCGCTCAGATTTGGGAGAAAAGTTAAAACACGAAATACATCTCTCAGCCCGAATACATCTCTCCTGTCTCCAGCTGTGTTGACAATCATTTATTTTCTTTTTTCTTAATTTGATGTCTGATCCTTTTCGTAGGATGTATTTGTTGACCTGTATCTAAAGCTCGTATACGACACATTCCATACAACTTGCATAACACGTGTATTTAGCAAGCCTTGGGTCAATTTGACCCGGCTTGGGCATGCAAAGGTTAAGTTCTCGTGAAAGATGCATCTCTTTACCAACCGCCATTGAATTTTAACTTAACATTTTTTAATTTTTATAACCTCAAACAAAGAAATCGCAACACTTTATAATCTCTCAACGCCACTAAAACGAAATTTTTTTTTTTTTCAATCGGTCTTGTTTTAACAATATTTTTACATTACCAATAATTTATTTAGTTCGCCTCTTGAAAAATTGGCCCATAGGCATCGTAAAATCGATATATAGCTTGAGTCTTTGGCGCCCTCTGTGCTGAGAATTTTATGTTCTCTTTCTTCTAAAATTTTCCTAGGACATTGGCGGGTCCAGCAAATTGGCAAAATTGTTTTTCTCCATTTAAACCTATGGAAATGTTTGGATTCTCGAAGTGGAAAGTGTTCCGACAAGAATCGATTATTTAACATAGTTTTAAATGGAGGAAATCCGGTGTTGCCAAATTGCTGGATCCGCCTATGTCCTCAGACACATTCGGGCTATTTAAGGAAAGATGCCAGTGAAACTTCATTTCTCAGTTCCTGATGTTGTTCCTGGGTAGAGAAACAATTTTGGGCCCAAAAAATCGTGACTCTTCAAGTTGTTCGTAACCTCAATTTGATGGCATATACATGTAACAAGGAAAATCGAGAAACAACATTTAGGAAGCTTGGAGGCCAAGGCGCATAAGTGCAGCTTTTGAAAAATTGAGATATTTAATGATTTCACGTAAAACTAGTCTAATTGCATCATCTGTGAAAAATTCGCTCAAAAATTCCAATTTTTAAGCTTCAGAAAGTCAGTTTGAACTTCCTCTTCGCCATGAAGGATCCGAGTAATTTCGAAACTTCAAACACGTATTTTTCGAAGTATCAAAAACTGCACTATAACGTGCCTTGTCTTCCAAGCCCTTCATTTCTTAAGTTTGCTCTTTGTTAGAACATGCATGAAATTGTGTATCATGCTTCTACATAGCAGACAAAGCAACTAACTTAGAAACACGGATAACATCGCGCAATTATGACTTTTTTTGCATCCCTGCCGTCCATTAAAAATTGGCTGCAGTTTAGCGGCTCTAGGGTTATGCATCAAACCAAGAATGCATAGTGATGCGCATCGATAAAAATGAATTGGCTCGTAAAGCCCCTGAGGTCGGTCGCCGTACATCATATTAATGGTCTTGGCAACCTCTCCGCAGACCCAGTCGGACACCATTCTTTGGTTTTTATTTTATTCGCCCCGAGACAATGACTGGTATTTACTCCCATTTAGGTACATACTTCTTCGTTCCTCTTGTTTTTCGTTCTTGCCGAATCTTAGACTGAAAGCTTACCAGGCTTAAATTTATTATACATCTTTGGTCATACAACTCAATCTATTCTAATTTCAAGACCGATTTCATCGCGGGCAGTGATTTAGATCGCGGATCGCAAGGCTTTCCTATGGCACAGAAATGAAGGAGCTACATTATCCCGGCTTTAGTTATATAGCTTGGATAATGCATCACATAGTATGAAAATGCATGACAATTTTCGAGATTTCAAATATAATCCATTCAGAGGA